CCTCTCGTGTGTTGCGCACGTGCGTGTGTGCGTGTGTACGCATGCTCATGTGCGTGTGTGTGTTGTGAATGGTTTCTGGTGTCCTTTGCGTGCTATGCAAGCTTCTGCGCTCGACCTTTTCGCTGCCGTCGCCACCCTCTCGCTTTCCAATGCTCTCCCTTCGCGTGTCCTCACATTGTGCATCCGCGCCGTGCACGTGTCCCCTTCATTGCCATCAGTGTCAATCATCTCGAAATCTGTTCTCCACACCATGAACACATGTGGCGATGCAGACCTCAGCGTTTATCTCCTTTTGCAGGTGCGCACACATTTGCGTCGTTCTGTACTGGCAACTTGCGTGCGCTCGTGCGTGTATCCCTGTGTGTTGTGCAATTGCGTGACTTGTTCCGTTGTCCTTGTTACTGTGAAGCTGTTGCATGCAGCTCACTGCTTTGCACACATGTGCACATATCCCCGTCGCCACAGATTGTGCAGTGCCTGCCGAGTGACTGGTTCTCTGCAGAAAACAATCCCCACCGCGACGCCATCAGGTGAGACTTCATCGTGCACGCACTCACTTGCGACTTCATGTGGGCGTTGGCTGCCACACAATAGCACAGGTTCCGTTCACTACTGTCCTCACACACACACACACACACACACACACACACACATACACACACACACACACACACACACACACACGCACGCACACACGCACACACGCACACACACACTGCAGACAAAAGCTGGAGCCGTTCACTGCGTTTTTGACGCAGTATGCACGCAAGTTGCCGCAGCAGCAGCAAGTCGGAACAGTGATTGGGGCGCTGAGCTCGTTTGGCGAGAGCAAGAAGGCCGCGAAACTGCACGGGTACCTGGCAAGCATGGGATGACTCCCAGTGCACCCATTTGTGGGTGTCAGCACTTGAGCTTCGTCGGAAACCCATCACACTCCATCAAGATGTAACGCACCAAGTTTATTAGAGGCTGTTATCGTCAATCACACACACACACACACTCGCTCCCCCTTGGGCGGATGCACCAACAACACCAGCCATCTCAACCACACAGCAATTATACACCAAGCGCAGCATGAAAGTGATGACATGCACATGAAGGGGCGGGACAGGGCGAGAGAGATAAACACACAAACACAGACACACAGGCACAGACACATACACACAGACACAGACACACAGACACACACACACAGACATGCACAGACACACAGACACTCACTCACACACTCATGTAAACGTTTTCACGCATGCATGGTGGTTAAATAGTCCAGCCGCTGGGCTGGTCGTCCTCCAACACGACCGTCTTCTTTGTTCGGTCGGATGATTTGTCCGATGCAAACTGGCGCCGTGCATTCCGCGCACCGCCTGCGACTGTCTTTCCTGTTGTGTCGTCTCGCTCGTCCTTCAGTCCAGCGGCGCGCAGGACCGACAGCTGCACGCGCACCGCATCCCGCACATCATCGAGCACGGCAAACAGCTGATGCGCAACCACGCGCAGCAGCACGTGCAAGAACCCCTGCACGTGCCGAATGTGCCGCTGGTCTTCGCTGCCCATCGGGCCGAGCAAGTGCGACACAATGCGAGCCTGTAGCTCGTGTGGAAGGTGCAGCGCGTGGTACTTGAGTACGCGCGTTACGAGCCCGCGTGCCTGCATGCTCGTTGCCTGGCGCTGGCGCTGCAGCGTGGCGTCCAGTTCGTCAGACTCCACCTCGAGCGCCTGCAGGCTGATGAGCGTGGTGAGCACTTCGTTGCATGCAAGCAACGAGTCGGCAGCGCTGGAGAAGTAGCGCACGAGCGAGGGCAAGAGCGTCCAGTCGCCCGTCAGTGCACAGCGAACAACGGTCTTCCCAAACACCGCATGCATATCGTTGTCCGCGTGAGCGTTTGCCACCTGCCCGCCCAGCTGCGTCAGTAACACATCGCGCGAAGTGCCTGCAACCGGTCGAGTGGGTGAGTGTGTGAGTGTGAGTCAGGGTGTACATGGAAGTGTGTTGGTGTCACCATTTGGGAGAATCAGTGAGTGAGGGAGTCATGGTGTGTATGAATGTTTGAGCAAGTTGCAGTACCACTGTTTAACATGTTCAACGTAGATACCAAATCACACAGTCTTAGAACACGCATCAAGCATTGTCACTTTGACTATTCCCTGCACACAATGCCCCACTTGTCACAGGTCCCGTCTGTGAACGTGACTAACTCTGCACGGTGGGGAAGCGCTGGGCCGTGTGTGCATCATCAAGCGTGGGGAACACCGCCGTCTTGACAGCAAGCCCTGATGAAGCAAGCATCAAGCAGCAGCAGCAGCAGCACAGGCGTGTGGCGGTGAGGTTGTGCATGTTGTGTGTTACGCGGTGGATGTGTTGATAGCGCTTCAGAACACGGGTAGAGAGGAAGAGCAGGGGAGAAGGGGATAAGGGTAGAAAACGTGCGAACGAAGCACAGTGCAAACGGCGCGCCAAAACACTATCAAAAACGACAAGAAAACATCTCAACGTGTGTGTGTTAGTGTTTGTGTGTGTGTATTTGTATGTGTGTGTGTGTGTTTGTGTGTATTTGTGTATTGCACACCGAGGGAAGGCGCTGTTGGGGCGAGAAGAAGAGAACCGTCGTTGGTGCTGATAGAAAGCGTGATGTTCTTGCGAATCGACATGAACCGATCACCCGTCCAGTTGTGAATGCTGCAACAGCGAGTCAAGCAACAGTGAATGTGTTGTGCATGCGTTTGTGGTCATAAGCATGTGAAGTCAGGCGAGAGCTAAAACAGTGAGCGTGCACATGCACGTGGTCGTACAAACAACCCGCCTGTAACATTGCTTGCAAGTCCATAACCACAGCCTAGCGTACCGAATGGACACAGCTTCGCGTGCTTGCAGCGCAAACTGAACTGCACTCTGCCACACCACAAACCGAACAGCACACATTGGGCGGAGGAAATGAGCGCAAACCCAATTGTCATACACAAGCACGAACACCCCCAAAACAAAGCACAACACAAGCAATGGTGCGGAAACACACGTGCAAATGCACGAACATCAACGGACGCAAGAGCACGGGGCGAGTCGTGGCGGGAGGCTGTCGCACCTTCAGCTCAATGGCGTTGTACTTGACGTCATCAACGGACCAAGAAGCGCCAGGGGTGTTGATGCTGCTGATGATACAGCGGCCGCCGGCTAGTCGCAGCAGCGCCTGCGTGAGGTGTTCAACAAACAGCTCAAGTGCACGCCCGCGCTTGCTGGAGATGAGATGCGTGTGTTCGTGGCAGTCAAAGGCAACCAGCACCCCGCGGTGCGACACAGAGAACGCCTGATGTGCTGCGCAGAGAAATTGGGCGGAGTGCGTTGCGTGCGTGCGTGAGTGCATGCGTGCATGCGTGTGTGTGAGTGTGTGTGTGTGTGAGTGTGTGTGTGTGGTGTGTGTGTGTGTGTGTGTGTGTGTGTGTGTGTGTGTGTGTGTGTGTGTGTGTGTGTGTGAGTACGCTGAGCGTGCAAGTGTGATTGACTGGAGCACAGATGCCGATGGTGGTGATGAGTGCACAGTGGCGCACCTGAGAGCCAGATTGCGGTGGATGTGTCCACTTCTCCGCGACCAGCCATTGCATCTGTCTTGACCTCTTTCAACAGCTCGCTCACTTGCGTGAATGCCTGCGGCTTCATGGCTGTCAGCACCGCACTGCTGCCGAAGATGGGCGGCTGGCCAAGCGAGTACATGCCCTCCTGAGCACAAGCACGCACGCATGCACACACATTCGTGGTGTGTCCCATCGGTGGTGGCGATTGCAAGTTTGGGTGCGGTAAATTAGCTGCAGGCACACAAGAACCAAGCCAACACGTCAACACAAGGAAAGACAAGCAAAACATCGAGATAGACAGACAGACAGACACACAGAAACACAGCACTCACGGTGCCGGCGGGTGTTGGGTCTGTGCGCGTGATTCTGGCCTGCAGTTTGGCGTCTGTCTCTGTGCAGAGTTCAGTGAGCCACATTGCGCGGCGGAAAGCGGTGCACGCGCGCATGTACGGATTCGCCGGCAGGGACGTCTGCCCAACCACCTGCAGTAGGAGGAGGGGCAGGAGGAAACTTTGCATGAGGAAGACCAAAGCTGCCACGTGCACATGCAGATGATGTGTGCCCGCACACACACACACACGCAGACACGCACACACACACGCACACACACATACACACACACACACACACACACACACAGACAGACAGACACACGCGCCCGCTGGGCTTACCTCGAGCAGGAGTTGGCGCAGCGTCTCGTCCATGCGCGTGTCAATGAGATATTGCGTAATGACGGCGCTGTGGCGGATATCAGGCGGCAGTCGCGACGTCTTTGTGATCTGCAGACGTGATGCAATGATGGGCAGCCATTACAGCCGGTGTGTACCGAAAGAAAGAAAGAAAGCGTGCAGATATCAAAACGAACTCAACGACAGCACACGCAGCACGTGCACGATCAGCAGTCATACGCACACACACACACACACACACACACACACACACACACACACACACACACACACACACACACGAACCTGTTGAACATCGAGGACGAGGTCGTTGTTGAGACCCCAAGCAATGGTGCTGAGATCAAAGCCCTGCAGGTACTCTGCATACTCGCGGTCACCAATGGCGGTGTGTTGCGCCTCAATGAGAGCGGTGGCGCCCACGGCTGCAAGGTCCGCGACCACGCTCTGCTTCAACACAGCACGCGAGTAGTGCAGATACACAAATAGCCGCTCAAGCCTGCACCCAGACACACACACACAGACAAGCGGTTACAGACACACACACACACACACACACAGACAAACAGACACACACACATGCATAAGATGCAGTGAGAGGCACGAGGTTTGTATCAACTGCGTACCCTTGTTAACGCATCCGTGTACATACAAGACAGACAGATGGGCAGATACAACCTCAAACGACACGCACACATGAGCAAAGGAACAAGGATACATGCAGGTGTACACGGATATCTGGAGTGGCACGACTGACTCGTTGGCGGTGCGGGTGGTACCGGCAATTGCACCACAGAGCAGCGCAACGTCTTCCGCAACCTCCTGCTCACACGCACACACAAAAAAGACACAGACAGACAGACAGACAGACAGACACACACACACACACACACACACACACACACACGCGGGCGCGCGTGCATGGAGCAGTCCAGGAGAAGAGGAGCGTAGGATGAGTGGGTGCAGTTGCATGTTTGTGCGATGATTGGTTGTGGAAGACGAATGAATGCGAAACGTGACATGGGCACACAGACGCATGGCGAGCAGCACCGCACCACCGCGGCCTGCAAGAGACAAACAAAGCAGGGCGGCAAGCGTGTGGGCGCACCTCGATACCCGGGTGGGCGAGGGTGCGGAAGAAGGAAGTGATGTTCTCACAGACAGCAGCAATGTACCGGTCAACTGGAGCGCCGCACGCGCCGGCAACAGCAGCCGCGTCCACCACAAGGGAGTAAATGGTCTGGACTTGCAGCGCAAACGACTCGAGCGCCACAAATGGCCTTCAGAAGCGCGCAGTGTAGATAACGGTGCAGTGATGCGTGATGGGGTTTGCACGACGTGATGGGGTTGAGATTGTTGGCACAACGTGGGTTGGGAATGCAAATATTGTGGCGGGAGTGTGAATGACAACCGCTGTCACGTGTGTGACCTGGAAAACGTGCACGCAACACAGACAAGGGTGTGTACAATATAAAGCATCACGTCAAGCAAACGATGAGCGAGAAATGCAGCGCAGCGGCTTTTGGATGTAGTGATAGAACGCACGTTGAGGCAATGTGTCGAAGATGACGCACGCGCTGCGGCCCAACTACAGCGACCGAGCTGAGGTCCCCAAACACGTCCGTGCTCACGTCGGGTGGCGGCGGCGCATGCGTGCTGCTGCTTGTGCTGGTGGTGGTGTTGGCATCATTGTAATCGACAGCGGCCATGGCCAGCAACTGTAATTCATTGGCAGAAATGCGCGCGGTTGTGTGTGTGTGTGTGTGTGTGTGTGTGTGTGTGTGTGTGTGTGTGTGTGTGTGTGTGTGTGTGTGTGTGTGCATGGATATGTGCGTGACGCGCGCGTGTGAGAAGAGGTCAGCAAACGCACACCACACACGTACAAACGCACATGCCGCATGTGTGTGTATGTGTGTGTGTGTGTACTCACAGCGTGGAGGACATTTGCTGCGGTCTCGCTTGGCTGCTGTCGATATCCATCCAGCGACTGTGTCAGTGTTGCTCTGTATCGCTGTTCAAGCCCACCCGCTGCAGTCGACGTACAGTAAACGGGTGGCATGAGGTGGGGTGGTATGTGACGCACACGTTATGTGCGGTGTGTGTTGGGTTTGGGACAGTACAAGAGCAATCTTTCACGCGGGAGAGTTTGTGCCTGCACAAGTGCCAAGCACAGTTGGAGGTCCAAACCGCGGAACACAAACACACAGCACAGCACACACACACACACACACATGAAGAAACACACACGAGAGTCGTTCACATGTGCGTGTGCGTGTGTGTGTGTGTGTGTCGGGACGTACGGTCTGCGGTGAAGAGCGACATGTAGAGGGCTGCGCTCTTGCGGGCAAGGAGAGCGCCCGTGAGGACGAGGTGGTATGGCGGTCGCGTCGACAGCGCAGCATCTGGTGGTGGTAACGATGGCGGAGGGTATGATGGCGGTGAGGTGGAGCGTGCCATTAAACACACGAGGACAAGCAGTTCACAAAACAGCCACAGTTGCACAATCACTGCGCATCTCGTACACACCCACACCCACACACACCCACACCCACACCCACACCCACACCCACCCACACACCCATAAGCCGTACGTTCGTCCATTTGATTGGCGATGATGTGCAAGCCAAGGGAGAGGCGGTATGCGTGCACGCGCTGGGTGCTCTGTTGGATGAGCGCACGGGCACAGTGCAGATGTATGAGTGTGTTCAGTTTCAAGTGCACAGACACACAGATAGACAGACACAGATAGACAGACAGACAGACAGGCAGACAGACACACACACACACACAAACACACACAGACACGCAGACACAGACACACGGTGCTTGAGCCATTGGCCAGCGTACAGAGTCGATGAAGACGGCGGCAAGGACGACGGGTGCGTTGGCTTTGAGGGCACTGACGAGTTTGCTAGCAGCAGGCTTTGACTGCACATCACCCGCAAACAACTGCGGACACACACACACACACACACACACACACACAGAGTATTGCGTGAGGGGTGTTACCTTGCACTGCCCCCCCCCACACACACAGCATGGCAATGCAACACGTACCCGCTCATCGCCAACGTCTGCCCACATCAGCGCGTGTGTGTCTGTGGAGAGACGGGCGGTGAACTTTTGCAGAATGCTCACAAACACGAGGATTCCGTCGTCAGGGCCAATGCCCCGCATGACGCAATCCTACAGTAGGGACACACGTGCACGCGTATGAGTGAGTGTATGAGTGGGTGAGTGCGTCCGGGAGAGTGCTGCTTGCGTGCCCCCATGTGACTGTGCAATGCAATCCACCAGAATCAGCGCGGGTGCTCGTCCCCGTGCAGGTGAGTTCACGTACGCAAGCGAGCGACAGGTCTGTGGTTGCGGTGTTGGAGAGACCCCATAGCGAAGGTATGGTTGCCGCCAGCAGCACATTGAACGGCAAGCTCGACTTTATGCAACCTGTCAAGTGGGTGGTGAGGAAGAGAGGCAGAGACGGTGGGGGTACAACAAAGTGAGTCATGTGAATGCAGCACAACAGCCACAGACACCCAGCTGAAGGCACAGGCGCAGATGTACACAACAGCTACAGGCAGCCCATATAACTACACAAACACACAGCGATGTATGACAAGCGTCGCACTTACCCATCCATGTGTCTTCAATGGCTTGGGCAATCAGGCTGGAGGGATGGATGATGATGACCAGGGTGTGTGTGCTCAGGTCAGTTCTTGTGTTGAAGAAGCAAAACAAAACAAAATTGCACGCGCAGCCACGTGGGTCGACATACAGGCAACACAGACATGAAGCGTGGCCCATGTTGCTCGGCGGCGCACCTTGCAGTGCGTACGACGCGTGCGTTTGTGAGCAAGAGGACAGATCGAAGGCCAAACGCTTCCTCCCCAAGAGGGCCTGGGCAGCACACATGAAGGAATGGCAGCGCAGTGAGGCAGACACACACGAGCACAAATGCTATCGAGACACAGACCCGGGATGCGATCAAAAAAGACAGAAAGGCAGGCAGGCATGAAATCGCACACACCAGCGAGCTCACACACACACACACACACACACACACATACACGGAGACAGACACGCACAAAAGAGCACAGACACGAACAAAAGAGCGCAGACACCCCCCCCCCTCACACACCCTTCCTCCCCTAGTGCGCACCACTGAACGTGACGAGATCGCCCGGGAGTTGGTCATCTTCGTGGATGTGGTTTATGGCTGGCAGGGGATGGGAGGATCGATCCAGGTTGGGTAAGGTGGCACGGGCCATGCACTTGGTCAAGAGCCATGAGTAAGGGTTGTACGGCAACAAGGGCTGTGTCACGAGGGCTTGTACGTTGTCTCGCAACCACTGTGTGAAGCCCGTGCTCTTCAAGTACTCTTGCACCACATCCAGCACCCGCAGCGATGCTTGATCCTCCTCCATCGTCTCAGCAGCACGCTGCCTGTTTGCTGTTTTGGACAGCGCCGTGTCAAGTTTCACCGTCCCGCTTCGCCACCACCTGGACTGACTGCAATCAAGGAAGCTTTTCAATCTTTTTGCTGCAAGCAAGACACAGGGAAGTCCCCAGCATGCGCCAGCAACGTCACATACACCAGAGAGGAAGCGCGCGCGTGTGGGAGGAAGGACACAGCGCTGCCATCCACACCAAGCTGTTGTTTGTGCGTTTGTTGTAACTGATGCTTTGCAGGAAATTGCGCGGTCGGTGGCAATTTGCAACGCACACGTGTGCTTGCGAGAGAGGTGGTCGTTCATTTTTTTCAGCTGACAACTCTCCCGCCAAGCGCCAGCAGACAACCTCCACAAGCGATCCACCCAAGGACAAGCGAGCGTTACAACCAGCAACAGCAGCAGAAGAAGCAAGTAGAAGCACCGCAAAGAGCACACGTCCAAGATGCCGAAGAACAAGGGCAAGGGAGGCAAGAACCGCCGCCGCGGTAAGAACCAGAACGAGCCGGACAGGCGCGAGCTGGTGTTCAAGGATGAGGGCCAGGAGTACGCGTTGGTGACGCGCATGCTCGGCAACGGGCGCTGCGAGTGCAGCTGCTTCGATGGCACGACGCGCCTTGGCCACATCCGCGGCACCATGCGCAAGAAGGTGTGGATCAACAAGGACGACATCATTCTCGTCAGCTTGCGCGACTACCAGGACGGCAAGTGCGACATCATCCTCAAGTACACCATGGACGAGGCGCGAAACCTCATCAAGAACGGGCAGCTCCCAGCCGACACAAAGCTCAACGAGGGCGGCGACTCCGACAAGGAGCAGGACGACACCGTTGTCTTCGCCGAGGTTGACAACGCAGGCGACGAGGAGGACTTTGACGTCGGTGGTGACGTCGACATTGATGACCTCTAAACCGCCATCAACCTGCAACAACAGCTACATGTGTGCGCATGTCGTCGTCGGTGCGTGTGTATCTCGTTTGATGTGTGTGTGTGTGTGTGTGTGTGTGTGTGTGGCGTGGCGTGGGGTGGCGTGGTGTGGTGTGTATGTGTGTGGCGTGGACAGGGCTTTGATTAGATTGGCCTGTGAGCGAAGATGAGGTTGTTGTCGATACGTGCATGCATGCATGCACATGTGCTTGTGTGTTTGGTGGTGTGTGTGTGCGTGTGCTCGCGCACCCACAAACATGCACGCACGGGCACGTCTTTGTGTGTGCTCTGCTGTTGTCAATTTAACGTCATCAGCGCGGCGTCGTGCTTAACGCATTGAACGGGCGTATGTTCTTGCTGTGATATGCTCGATGTGACGCATAGTTTGGCTGCTGCCGTCGGTTTCTGTGCCGTGCCAGGTTGATATTAGCATGCGCTTCCTATTTGTTGTTTCTTCGAAACGTGCGTTGTGTGAGTTGTGTGAGTTGTGTGAGTTGTGTGCGTTGTGTTAGTTGAAGGTGAAGGGCACACGCACACGCACGCACACACACACACACACACTGTGGTTCCTGTTGTATGTTGGTTGTCTGTGATAGGCTGCCCTGTTTCTTCTTCCTTGTCGCGAGCGCGTGTAGGCCGCATGTGTTCACGTTGCGGCTCCACCCCAGTGTCAAGTGTCAAGTGTCAAGTGTCCGTGTGAAAAAGTGGAGGTGCGCTGTGTGATGTTCAACAGCCTCCTTCTTGTCTTCCTTTCTCCCCGTTTGTTATCGCTCCCACCTTCGCCTTGGCTTTTCGTTTGCTTGCGTGGTGTCCGGCCCCATGTTTTGCGTGCCTTAGTGTGTGGCTTGAGGGCCAGGTGGTGCCGGCGGCTTTGCTGTTGTCATCCTTTGCCTGCCCTTTACCAACATATTCACCCACCGCACTCTAGCCGTGAATTCATCCATCCATCCATCCACTTCCACGATAAACACAGCAACAAGGCCACAATCACTTGATTTGATCTGTTGTGAGATGAGATGAGGGAACACGTAAAACAACACAGTGTGAACGCACACTTTGCAGATACACGATGTCCTTCACATCCATGACCGCCAACACACAAACACACCCACAGGCACACGCAAGGGTGCCACCGTCTTTGTTTCTTCAATGGGATGTAGCGCGGGGAGGCTGTTTACTGCGCGATACGGATTCAAGAAAATGTCACACGAACAACACCAAAGCGCGGAGACAATCACTCCTCGTCGCCAGCAGCCTCGGCACGGGCGGCAATCTTCTTGCGCTTGTTACGGCCAGGGCGGCCACCACCGAAGGGGCTCTTCGCGCTGAAGTCAATGTGCTTGGCAGAGTCGACGCGCACGGTGAAGGAGGGCACGTTCACGAGCTGCTTGCGAACCCTGTCAAGGCGAGAAAAACACAAAAAGCGGGAGCGGAGGCGGCAAGGGTGAAACAAGGTGTGAGGTGTGGAGGCTGAAGAACGATACGACAGTACACACACGTGCGAGTCATGATGGGTGATAACACGCGATGCAATGTACCACCAAAACAAACTAACAACCAAAGGATGTTGATGGACATAAAAAGACTGGGCACACGAGGCTTGCGACCACGCGGCAGGATGGGGACCAAAACAACAGGGGGGGGGGCACGGCATGCATGATGTGCGTGAGCATTGTCATGCTTGTTCGAACCTAATGTGACGCTGGCGGATGAGGACACGGGCGTGGTGGACAGACTTGGCGAGACCGAGCTTGAACACCTGTGTTTGCAGACGACGCTCGAGGAAATCCTCAATCTGTTCACAAAGTACAAAAACCCGCAATAGGAGACCAAACAGCGTGAGTTCAGCAAGCACACATGGGTAACTCTTCGCGAGGAAAGACAGCCGTGCGGTACACACACTGTACACACAAATATGCATACACACACAGCACAGCACATGCATACGCAAGAAAACGCATGCTTCCCACGCAGCCACGACGACAACAACAGAAACAGCAACGCACCTTAAGACCGAGGACGTAATCGAGCTTCATGTGCTCCTCATCGAGCACGCCGATGCGGAGAAGACGGCGGAGGAGCGCATTGCCCTCGAAAAGACGGCGGGGGTCCTGAAGAAGAAAGAAACCACAAGTGAGACATGATGAGAGAAAGCAGAAGAGGAAGAGAAGGAGAACATGAACATGGGAGCGTCAGCAAAGGGGATTCATGCGGTCAACTCAGACTGCAAAAGAAACAAGGCAGCACGTGCTTGAAGACAGGGAACAACGTTGCGCACTTCACACAACACACACACACACACACAAACTTACGTTCTCCTCAAGGGTGAGAAGCACACGGGCTGCCTTACGGATCTTGGCAAGGGTCAGCTTGACGCGGTAAACCTACGAACCAGGAAGCAGAAGCCACGTGCAAGAGCAGACAAAAAAGTGATGATGATGAGTGTTGGGATGCACCACCACACATGGCCAAAAGGCATGCACTGCTACCCAAGCTGGGCAATGCTGATGCTGATGTATGTGATAGATTCGGGCTGCTGGTGTGGTGAACTGCTTGCTGTGGTAGTGTACCAGGGATGAATCTGCAACGTGCACGTGCTGCGGTTGTCTCCCTCAGCCCAGACACGCGGGCACTGCATGCACACAGAGGAGCTGCGTGTGTTCGTCGGCAACAGCGGGGAGCGCATCGTTGGTAGGAGGAGTGTTGCTGCACACGATGCTTGCTCCGTTTCTATCATCACTCTCATCGTTTTCAATGTCATCGGCATGCTGGGATTGGCTGGGCTGGGCTGGGCTGGTTTGCAAAAACACGCACATTCACACACATACACACACATGTACATTCATGCACACACACACATTCACACACGCGCACACACAAACAGCGGCGGCCCACGCACCTCGCGCTTGCAGCGGAGGCCGTACTCGCCAACGAGCTTGAGCTCCTGGTCGAGACGCTCCTTCTCGAAGGGGCGGCGGGGACCCTCAGCGGTCTTGCTGCAGACCTTGGGTGCTGCCTTCACGCCCTTGATGCGACCCATAGTTGTGCTGGTGGTGGTGCTCGGGTGGTCGTGTGCGAGATCAGGGAAAAAGGCACTGCATGTGAGCCCCGGCTCGCTTTAAAGTGAACTCCCGTGCTTGTTCTTCGCCTGCTCTCCGTAGCGTGAACACGAGGCCGCGCATCAGAAAATCTCCGAAAGATATTCGGCTCCGCTTTACCACTTGCTGAGTTGGGACAATTAACCAATATCACCACCCAATCCTCGACCCACCCCGGACAAGGGCGCACGCCGAGACAAGAAGAGAGCCAAACACACACACCACCAAGCAAAGCAAACCCAAGCAAACAAAAGCAGAGAGCAAGCAGAGAGCAAACAGAGAGCAAGCAAAGAGCAAGCAGAGAGCAAGCAGAGCCAGCCATGTCTCGCCCAGAGTACACCGCGCCACCGGAGATCGTGAGTGTACTTATTTGTGGTTGTGGTTGTGCTTGTGGTTGTGGTTGTGTATGTTTCTGTGTTGTGTTGATTGGTTTGTTGCTTCATCAAATGCAGCCATCTCACCGCACACGTGCGTTGTCAGTTTTACAATGCGGAGGAAGCTCGCAAGTACACATCCAAGTAAGGCCCACAACTCGTGTTGTTTCGATTTGTGTGGGTGGCTGGGTCTATCGTGTAAATCCACAACGCCCTGATGCGGATTTGTGTTCACACAGACCCACAACTGTACATGTACACACGAACAAGTAACACACGCAAGAACAAGCAACACACACACACACACACACACGAGCAAGCAACACACACACACACACACACACACAAGCATACACACAGACACGCATACACACACACGAGTAAGCAACACACTTAACATGACACTCTCTTTGCTTTTGGTGCACAGCACTCGTATGATCCAGATTCAGCGGGAGTTGACAGAACGGTGCTTGGAGCTGCTCGCACTTCCCGAAGACACGCCGGGGTTCCTTCTCGACATCGGGTGAGAACACCGGAATAATCGGCAGCATGGTGGAAGCCGGGTTGGAGGGGAGGGGGGCAAGGTGGAGTGGGCCGTGGACACACCCATGAAAGCCCACAGTGCAGTGCACCGTCGCGCATGACACAGTGCCTTGCCACGCAGCCCTCGTATGTGTGTGACGTTGCACAGAAGCTCTTATACGCACACATTCACAAACACACACACGCACACACATACACACACACGCATGCACACACACATGCACACGCACACTTGTTTGTGCGCATCTGATATCAACCCTTTTTTCTCTTCGACTTTCTGCCCAATGTTGTCACAGGTGTGGCTCTGGCTTGAGCGGAGAAACCATCAGCGATCACGGACACCATTGGGTTGGCTTTGACATCTCTGGCGACATGCTCGGTAAGACTGGAGCATCGTTCAGCATCCGCATCTGGCCCGTTGCCTGGAATGCCGCTGTGCGCTTTGACGCGGTTGATGATGCTTGTGTCTTTACGCTTGTGTCTTACGTGTGATTTGTCTTTCAATCCACTCATGCCGTTCCACACTGCGCAACTCTGTAATCATGGCCCCCGGCCTGTTGCTGTCCACATGTCTCATGCCTGCGCTCCCCTCTGTGCGTGTGCCATGACAGAGGTTGCAGCCGAGCGGGAGTGTGGCGGCGACCTGATTCACCAGGACATGGGCCAGGGCGTGCCATTCCAGCCGGGCTCCTTTGATGGCGTCATCAGGTGCAAACAACGGCGGTCGGGGATGCTGCAGTCTTGCGCTTTCCTGTTCTTTGCTGGCGCGCGCACCATATTCTCGCTGTGTTCGCTCATTGCCGCTTGTTTTGGACTGTGCGATTGCGCGTGTGTGATTGCGCGTGTGTGATTGTGCGCGGTTGCGCGTTTACTGGTTTGTGTCTGCTTTTTGCTCGTGCAGCGTGTCGGCGCTGCAGTGGCTTTGCAACCAGGACAAATCATCACACAACCCCATCAAGCGCCTTAAGCACTTCTTCACCACCCTCTACGGCGCCATGGTGCGTGCACACACACATGCACATGCATACGCACACACACACACACACACAGATACACACATGTAAACACACAGATACACACATATACACCAACAGCGAAACACATGCACGCTGCTCTGACTTGGCGTCGTTTGACTTGTGCGCTGCTGTTGCGATGATTCAGGCGCATGGAGCGAGGGCGGTGTTCCAGTTCTACCCAGACAGTCCGGAGCAGGTGCGTCCGTGTGTGTGTGTGTTGGGGGGGGGGGTTCATGTGCAGCCTGTCTCTCGCTTGTTCGGTTCACCTGTCGACGACCACTGCGAAGGGCAAGGGAAAGGCACAACACACGCGCACACACACACGCACACACATACACTCACCCACACCCACACCCACACCCATACATACACACACGCACACACACACACACACACACGCACATACACATTCACATTCACACGCGCACGCACACACACACGCACACACGCACACACACGCACACACACTCACCCACATACATACACATACGCACACACGTACTCCACATCATGGCTGTGGCTGCGGGTCTTGGTCGGACACGAGCAGATGCAGCTTGTGACGCAGCAGGCGATGAAGTGCGGCTTCACTGGCGGTATTGTCATCGACTACCCGAACAGCACACGCGCCAAGAAGTGCGTTGCCATCGTGTGGATGGCCGTGGTGTGGGTGCTGCCCTCTGGTGGTGGGCGTTGTGTGATTGGCGTGGCGTCGTGCGCGATTGACGCGTGTCTGCATGCCTGCGTCTGTGCTCGAGACGTCTGTGAAGAATACACACATGTGCATGTGTGTGAATACCGTTGGGTCGCTGACCACCTACCAATGCATGTGGTGTGCTCGTACTGTGCGCAGAATCTTCCTGTGCCTGTTTGCCGGCGTGGTTGGCAGTGTACCCGCGGGCAAGTCTGACATGATGCGTGACACGGCGAGCCAGAGCACGGTTGCATACACACGCGCAGACCGCCGCCGGCAAGGTGCACTGCTGCTTCTGCATGCCCTTGCTTGCAACGAACCACCGGCAGGCCTGGCCTTGCGCCTGTCAATCGTCATGCCGTGTTTCATATGTTTTGTTGTCACTCACGTCGCCGTGTACTCTTGTGCGTATGTATGTGTTTGTATGTGCGTGTGTCTTCTATGTTTGTGTGCGCGCGTATGCGCGCGTATGTGTGTGTATATGTGTGTGTATATGTGCGCGTGTATCTTCCATGTGTGTGTGTGTGCTTCTTTGTTTGCGCTGCAGCACGACGGAAGAAGCGGGCCGGTGTCAAGTCGCGGGAATGGATGATGAAGAAGAAGGAGTCTCGGCGCAAGAAATACGGCGAAAACTCTGTCAAGCGCGACTCAAAGTTCTCCGGAAGGAAACGCCCAACAAGATTCTAAACTGCCTGTTCCATGTCGTGTTTTGTGTTTGTGTTCATGTGCCTTCGTGGGTACTGTGTGTGTGTGTGTGTGTGTGTGTGTGCATGTGTGTGTGTGTGTGTGTGTGTGTGTGTGTGTGTGTGTGTGTGTGTGTGTGTGTGTGTGTGTGTGTGTGTGTGTGTGTATGTGTGGATGCCGTTGCGTCTCACATGTTGGCCCTCGTGCGATGATTGAGTATATCTTCCTATAAATTTCACAACTTCACCCACGTGTTTTCCATCGTGGTGCACCAACACCCTCACACACCCTCGTGCTCAACACACACCAACACTCGAACACACAACGAGCGAGGATGGGCAGGCAGTCGTACATGCTGTTTGCGAAGGATCGCATTGATCCTCGCAAGAGCACAAAGGGCGCCAAGTATCAGCACAAGAAGAAGAAGGAAGAGAAGGAGGGCAAGCAGGCACCAGCCAAGGATGAGCAGGCAGAGGACCCTCAGCAGACCCACACGGCCATCCTGAACAAGGTGCAGGCCATCAGCAAGAACATGGCCACGGTGGGCACCTTTGAGTCCGACGCGCGTCCAGCAGCCGCAGCCGACAAGCCAAAGCCCCAGTCAAAGAAGAGCAAGAAGAAGGCCAAGCAGCAGGCAGCCGCCAAGGCCCCGAAGCCCCTCAAGGCCGCCGACGCCGCCGCCGTCGAGGTGTGGGACGAGGACGACGTCGCCAAGAACAAGCTCGCAGCCCCCGCACCAGACGCCGAGGAGCAACAACAGCAGCAACAACAAGTTGGACCCTCAGCCCTGCGCTCCACAAAGCAGCTGTACGCCCTGCCATCACGCAAGGAGCTGGAAACGCTTCGCGAAGCAGACAGCCTCTTCAAATCCGGCCTCTTTCGCTTCCAGGTGGGCATGCGTCGCTGCTGAGCTGCTTTGATGCGCACACAGGCACAGGCACAGGCACAGACACGAACACAGACACAGACACACACACACACATATGTGCACAACCTCAGCGACAGCCACACTTGCGGCAGCACACCCCCGTGCCGCTCTTGTTTGCTGTTTCTCATCGCTGTTGATGCGTACTTGCCTGATTCACACTTGTTGCTTGCTTGCAACCTGCGTACCAGATGGAAGAGTTGCTGAAGCACGTCAAGGCCGCCAAGGTCCCCGAGTACGTACAGGAGTGCGTCAACAACATTGCAGACTCCCTCACCTGCTTTGAGACAATGAAGCAGATTAAGGTGTGTGTGTGCCTGCGTGCGTGTGTGTGTGTGTGTGCGTGTGTGTGTGTGTGTGTGTGTGTGTGTGTGTGTGTGTGTGTGTGTGTGTGTGTGTGTGTGTGTGCCAAATGCGGCTCTTGAGCCGAGTGCAACCGCTTGAACACAGCTCTATCTGGTGTGTTTGCACAGCTAATGTCAACGGCACCATGCACAACATGTGTGCACGTGTGCGTGCATGTGTTGTGTGCAGGTGCGAAAGAACAAGGTTGATGGCAAGTACCCGGTTCCATTCCAACCGCCGCTTCATCCAAAGGACCTCGATGGCGATCTTGCGCTCGACCTCAAGCTCAACGGCGGGACCGAATCCCGCCAATGTGCCGGTCAGTTTGGGTTGTGTGGCTTCACATGTGCAATGTGTGCAGGACGTTTGCGGGCATGTTGATGTTGTTTTCACAAGGGTGTAGATGTGCTGTTTGTTGGATCATGGGAAAGAGGAGTGTCTTGCTGACAACTGCACAGTCCGTTGCACGGAGCGATCAGCAGTGTCTTCTGCGCATAATGTTTTTTTTTTTTCTTTACGTCCGCATACTGTGACATGGTGTTGACTGTACCTGCCCTTGTGTGTGTGTGTGCTGTTGCAGTTGAGTATGTTGGCAGCGTTCGCCGGTCGCTGCTTGCACAGCCGACGCTGGACGTGGACGTCTGCATTCAGATGCCGCGCGCCCTCCTGCAGGTGCTGACTGACGCACACGCACGCGCACAATTTCGTTTCGCTTCGGCATTGCGTCCTTGCTCTCGCCCTAAGCCACACACACACACACACACACACACACATACACATACATACACACACGCATACACACACATACACACATACATACACACACATACACACATACATACACACACGCATACCTCACGGTGCATCTCGTGGTTCCACACATTCACCAACTTCACACTGCTCATCTCTCGTCCACTCACACTCTCACATACATGCACACACACCCAAACTGCTTGCGCTTTATTCGCCTCGACACATTCAACGCGTTGCATATCCCCTTAGCACCAAGACCGGAAGCGGTTTCGGTATCTGTACAAGCGCGCAGCCTTCCTTGCACACATCGCCGGCATTGCCGCTAAGCTTGACGGCATCCACAGCGTCACGTATGAGCGATTCCAGGTACGCATCGCACACACACAAACACACACATACATACATACATACATACAAACACACACACACACACACACAGATATGGGCATAGGAGCTGGATGCAGACAGACTCAAAGCCAGCCAATCAAACAGACAGACTGACAGACATGGGCGCATGCACATGCGCATCTCCCCACCGAATTGAAACTTCAACACCGCCCCCCCCACACACACACACTGCCCACCACTTGCATGTCCTCCCTCTTCCTCATCCACCACCGCCCTTGCCTGCCTGCCTGCAGGGGGATGAGCTGAAGCCCGTGCTGTGCATCACTCCTCTCAAGAGCGCAGCCACAAGTGCGCGCCCGAAGCCGGGCCAGCGCAAGGCCGCAAAAGGCGCTGGCGACGACAACGACGACAACGACGGTAATGGCAACACGGCAGATGGCGAGCCGCGACCAAGCCGTTTCCGTATTGTCATCCACGCCATCGCTCCAAAGGACTTCTTCAAGGTACACAAGGGAGATGGGTAATTGTTGCGCGAGTGCATGCGTGCGTGCGTGCGTGTACACAAGTGAGATGATGGGGTTGCGTAGGCGAATGTCAGGGATTGCGACTGTGCACACGACTGTGCTGTGCCCTAGCCGCCGCCATGGTTGTTGGGTCGAACATCGTGTATTTCTAATCCGTGCGCTGCTGTTGATTGCTGAATTACAGCCGAACCAGCTTGGCCCGAAGCACAACACACTCGACTGGCCAGATCTGCACCTTCTGTACCCGCAGCACAAGGACCTCGACTTTGGCACACAAACCACAGGTTCGACATGAATTCTACACATGGCAACCGCCGCCACGCAGCGCGCAGCAACCCGACAGTGTGAACCATTCCAACAAGCACAAACACACACAGCACACACAAAGAGCACACACACACACACACACACAACTACTTGAATACAAATTGTGCTGTGCTGACATTGTTACCACATGGTGTGTGTGTGTGTGTGTGTGTGTGTGTGTGTGTGTGTGTGTCATCAGGCACGGCGACGCCGCGGTACACGCTTCGCATCTTGCAAGATGTGCTGATGATGGAGCACGCAAAGGTGCGCCCACACCCGCGTACTTGGCTGCACATGAGTGTATGTTAGTCATGCCACTGGCATGATTCAGGTGATGTTCACATGTCCAGTTGCTTGCTTCCTGCTTTCTCACCATGTCCCTGTGCAACACAAACGCTTGCGTCCGCATCTGCGTGCACAATGAATGTCGCAGTTTGTCGCCAACGCGACGAAGGATCTTGGGCCAAACTTCAAGGAGGCCGTCCTCCTGCTCAAGGTACGCACCCTGAACACGATGATGATGATGATGATGATGATGATGATGATGATGATGATGATGATGATGATGATGATGATGAATGCATTGTGGTCTGGCCACCTCCTGCTGCTCTGTGTGTGTGCATGTGTGTGTTCATTCATGTTCATGACAACATGCACAATCATGTGTGTGCGTGTCATTCGGCACCTCCCCATACCGATGCTGCACTACCTCACACCACCCGTCACCCAATGCCTGCTCGTTGTGCTGCAGACGTGGTTGCGCCAGCGCGGCATGAACTCGCGCACATTTGGCGTCATGAACGGTTTCACCGCCACCATGCTCCTCATCCACCTCATCCAGCAGCGACAGGTGTGTGCGTGTGCTTGTGTGTGCGTTACGTGTATGGTTGTCTGTACTTGTCAGTGTGAATGTATGTGTGAATGTATGTGTGCATGTGTGTGTGCGGTGGAAATTTGCGCGAGAGACGTCAATTACCCCCAACATTTGATCCATCTTGCATGTTACATCCCGCCTCCCCTCACACCGCACCTCCCGCCCCGCCGCCCACTCCTCAGGTTCCTCGCGAGGCGAGCGCGTACCAGATGGTGCGGAAGACAATGGCAGTGATTGCATCAAGCAAGTGGAACGAAGAGCCGCTCGCCATGAAGCACTACATTGACGTTGGCGCTGTTCCGCCCCCAATTGAGGACATCCAGCAGGCCTTCCTCGTCACCTTTGTTGACCCGTCTGGCTTCTGTAATCTCCTCGGCCACATGACCATGTACGCGCTTTGCATGTCGTTGATGGTGGCTGTATTGGTTGTACTTGTGTCGGCGTTCGTGGTGCTGTTGATGGTCGTGGCGCGTGTTTGTGAACGTACGCGCTTTGTGGATGCCTTTGAACATCTTACACTCCAGTGTTGCCCAGCTCATTGGTTAACACATGCACCTCTCCCCCTACTCGTACATTCGCGTGTATGTGTGCGTGTGTTTGGTTTCATGTGCTTGCATGTGTTCAGCGGCCAGTACGATGAGCTGCGGTTTGAAGCAGCGCGCGCCATCAAACTACTCGACAGTGACGAAACAAACGGTTTGTCTTCGCATGCCGTCATTCCTTTGCCACTTTGTTGTCACACGTGCAAGCCCATATTCCTGCTGTCTCTTGCTCCGGGTTTTGCCGCGTGTCGGTCTCCATTTGAAACATGCATCTCACGCTTGAACTTGAACCCTGGTCTTGCTCCGCTTGAATCTTGCTCAGACTGTTATCTCTCCCTCATCCTACTCCACACTCACGCTCACATATACACATACACACACACCCAAACACACACACACACACTCACACTCACACACACTCACACACACACACATACACACACACACACACACAACGCACAGCGTTTTCGTCGCTGTTCCTGTCGCCCGTTGACCCGCACTACAAGTTTGACACGATGATCCACGCGCGCCTCTCGCCTGAGGTTGTCAGCAAGTACCCTGCGCAGCTGCTTGACCGTGCCGGCAACTGGATTGACCTTGCCAGCCGCCTCCTCCCCGTCCTGCTTCGCCGCGGGCTCGGCGACCGCGCACCCGTTGTTGTAGCGCTGCCCACGCCGCAGCAGCCGTGGAAGATCACAGGCGCTCCGCCGTCGTCCATCTTCGCCGCACAGGAGCATGTCATCAGCATCGGCGTTCTCCTCAACCTGGTCCGCAACCAATGCACCGTGCTTGCAGGGCTGACACCCACGCTTGATGAAGTGCTTGTTGTTCACATTTGCACGTCGAAACACGTGCACACACTTTTTGTGTGTACTTTGCCGTCCTCGCTGTGGTGACATGAACCGAATGCATGCTCACGCGCTCTCCTATCAACACGCACCACACACACACACACACACACACACACACACACACACACACACACACACACACACACAGGAGACGTGCTACCGCACCGCCGACATTCTGCCGTCCACGGACGAGAGCGACGTGGAGGCGTTTGTCAACTTCTGGGGTGACAAGGCCACGCTGCGGGCTCTGGCCGATGGCTCCCTTCGCCACGGTGTCGTGTGGGACTGCGCGCCCCACCAGCGCCACCTGCTCGTCAAGTGGATTGCCCTGCACGTGCTTGCTCGCCACGCCAAGCTTGACGCTGCGCACGTTGCCATGCAGCCGTTCTTCTTTGAGCCCGTCCTTGCGGGCGCGGGCGTACCCGCTCCCGGCGCACTCGCGGCAGCGTCATCGGCACCGACAACGGACGAAGCGCCAAAGCCCCGTGACGACAACGGCATGGTAGCATCGCGGCTTGCCTCCGATGCGTTTACGGAGCTGGTGAAGATGGTGCGGCGGCTTGATCTCCCGCTGCTCGTGCGCGACCTGCGCTGCGTGTCGTCGACATTCCGCCTCACGGACCCGTTCCCGCAGGCGGCCACGGCAGCCACGGTCGCCGGCGCTGCCGAGCACGCAGGGAAGGCGGTCAACACCAGCGGCGAGTGGCAGCCTGTCATGGAGGCGATTCTGCAGTTTGAGGGCTCGTCGCGGTGGCCGGACGACATTGGCGCGCTGCAGCAGGTGAAGCTGGCGTTTCTCATTCGAATTGCGCGGCTCCTGGCGAAGAACAGCGAGAGCGGCAGCAGCGAGGCGCTGACGACGCGGCTGACACGCCAGTACCTCGATGTGCACTTCCGCGGATTTGTGTTCCGCATTGTCATCTTTGTGCGACAGGAGCTGACGCTTGTGCAGAAGCAGGCGGCGGAGTACACATCATCTGCAGAGCAGGTGCAGGGTGCCCAGCGAACAGAACTGCTTGCTGCTGCACAGGACATGTCGTCACTGGCGCGTATGATGCGACGGGACATGCTGGTGCTGCCCCGCCTCTCCGCCTGGATCCGCGGATTTGCTGTCCAGATGGCCTCCTATGGCCCCACAACCCGTCTTGCAAAGCGCTGGGTGGGTTGCCTGCTGCTCTTGTTTGTGCTGTTGCTTGTGGTGGCGTTTTGAGACCGGTGTGGGCCGAACGCAGGGACACACGGCGAGATGTGTAATGTGTTCTTATTGTGGAGATTGTTCTTGTTGTGGAGATTGTTTGTGAGGATAAGTGTTGTGGAGAGTGCAGCATGTGGTGCTTTGTGGTTGCGAGTTCTGGTGCGTGGCTCTGCATGAGCGTTTCTTCCTCCTCACGGTTCCCTTGCTTTCCCTGTTGCACACTGCACTTCCTCCAATCGCTGTGCCTGTGCAGATCCATGCGCACATGTTCTCGTCATACGTGCCGGACGAGCTGATTGACCTGCTGGTGCTGTCGCTGTACAACCACGATCAGCCGTACGGCGCACCGGGCACCCCCGACGTGGGCTTTCTCCGCTTCCTCCACCTCCTCGCCTCCCACAACTGGATCCACGACCCTCTCTTTGTCGACCCAGATGGTCAGGCGTTGTGCTTGTGTGTGTATGTGTGTGTGTTGTGTGTTGTGTGTTGTGTGTATTGTGTGTGTGTGTGTGTGTGTGTGTGTGAGTGAATGAGTGATTGTGTGTGGAATTGTGTGGGACTTTGTGGGAATGCTCGCGAGTGTGTGTATTTGTTTGTGAATACGAGACAGTGCCGAGAAACGCGTTATCTGTGCGAGTGTGGCTGCCCCTTTGTCGTTGCACAATTTATGCACTCGCGTTCAGCACCTCCTCCTCTCTCCCACTCACCACATCTTGCCCCGATTCTGATGTGCAGCCTCGTTGCCGGATGCCACCAAGGCCAGCATTCGCGAGCGCTTCCGTGAACAGCGACAGAAGCTGCCCATCATGTTTGTTGCCACATCAGTGGTACGTACTCATGTACATGCGTGCGTATCTGCGTATCTGTGTGGATGATGCGTGCTTTCAGGGAGCCTTTACAGGTCTGTTCTTCCTTGCGCACATGCAACACAACCTGTTGACGGCTGTCTGCTTGTTGACTCACCGCCCGTGCGTGCTTGCGCGCTTGTCATTGCTTGGGCGTGTGTTGTGTGTTCTCTTCCATTAGGATCCGGACTCTATGTGGACGCGCGAGTCGCCATCGAAGCTTGTGTTCCAGCGCCTTGGTGCGTGCACCCGCAACCTCGCCTGACCCATGCACGCCAATCATGCTTGCTGGTTGCCTGCAAGCAGACACACATTCGCACGCACACACACACACACACACACATTCGCACACATCCACAAGTGTATTTGCTGTCCACCATGTCATGTCGAGGCAACTCACATTCCCACACATTCCCACACATTCCCACACCACCTCTCCCATCCCCACCAGTGCGGTTTGCGCGAAGTGCAGAGGAGGCTGCGGCTGCTGCGCTTCGCTCTGTTGGGGATGGCCTTGTTGGCGGCACCGTCGGCAACGCCCTCACCATCTTCTCCACGCCACTCGCCGCGTACGACGTTGTGTTTGACATTGCCCCCGAGGCGCACGTGCGTCGCACACAGGCGCTGACTGGCACAGATGATGACACATTGTCGTCGTCATCGTCAGGTGGGGTGAGCAAGCCCAAGTTCAAGAACCTTGAGCTCAAGGGCAAGGTTGGCACGGGTCGGCCTGGCTGGGACCCTGTTGCGCAGCTCTTTGCAGACCTGCAGCGGCAGTTTAAGGACACGGTCATGTTCTGGTACGACGAGCTCGGCGGTCCTGTCATCTGCGCAGCCGTCAACCCAAAGGTGTGCGTGGTGTGTGTGTGTGTTGTTTTGTATGTGTTTTGTGTGTGTGTGTGTGTGTTGTTTTGTGTGTGTTTTGTGTGTGTGTGTGTGTGCGTGTTGTTTTGTATGTGTTTTGTGCGTGTGTTGTGTGTTGTGTGCGTTTTGTGTGTGTGTTGTGTGCGTGGTGTGCGTTTTGCATGACACACTCGTTACTTGTGTTGGGGTGGGTGTGATTCGTCGTGCATGATCTCAGCGACTGAGACGCTTGATGATGGTCTTGGTGCAGGTGAAGCAGCCACATCCGTTCAAGATGACGCAGACTGCCGCCACGCGCATGGAGGTGCGTGTGCGATTCGACGATGCCGCCTTATGCGTGCATGTTGTGTGTGTGTGTGTGTTTTCCGTGGGTGTGTTGGCTTCGTGTCCCTGTTGCTGTTCATCGCGTCACTGTTTTCTTTCATGGTGCACGCGCACTTGCGCCCATTGTATGTCATCCTCGATCACTTCAACTCCCTCACAACTCCATTGCCGGTTGTGATTTGTGTGGTAATCAACGCAGAAGGATGGCCAGCTTGTGTTTGATATGGAGTCGTTTGTCGCAGAGTGCATGCAGCTTGGCACTGGCGTTCTTTCCAAGGCCACCATTCAGGCGTAACTAACTCACCTCACAGCACTCGTGCTGCCCGCGTGTGTTTTTGTGTGTCTGCGAGATTTTGTATGTTGTGTGTTGTGTGTTGTGTGTTGTGTGTTGTGTCGTGGACTTACATGGCTTTGCCCCCCTGCTCTGTCTCTCTTTTTTTGAGTACACCCACGCAAGCAAGGACGAGTGCAGGAGGAAGAAGGAAGTGGGCGGGGGGGGGGACAGGGTGGAGAAAGAGTGGAGAAAGCTAGAAGCTGGGGGGTGGGGGTTCGACAAACGTGTCACATGCACAAATCATGTCACAATGAAACTCATCTGACGCCCAATGATGAGATTGTGCAATAGTTTTTGGAGGACAACACATGCGAGCGCATTTCCCCCACACAACAGAACAAGACCAACCAATCACCACCCAATATGATCGCTGCCCGCCTTGCTGTTCTCGCCACGGTGGCGCTGGCTGCGCTGGTTGCTTTTGGTGCCTGTGGCACTGATGCTCAGACGCAGGTGCCCATTGACCCTCAGTGCGTCAACTCCTCTCACCCGCCCCACCTCGTCTCCTACCACATTGTGAGTTGCGAGGAATGCCGTGATTATGTGTGCGTGCGTGTGCGTGTGTGTGTGTGTGTGTGTGTGTGTGTGTGTGTGTGTGTGTGTGTGTGTGTGTGTGTGTGTATGGTTGATATCTTGTCCACAATTCGACCTCAACCCACCGCCCTCTCCCCCCACATCACGTCCTCACACTGGATCTCCCTCTGTTCACTCTGCGGTCTTCTTTGCCGTTTCTCCTTTGTGCTCGCCTTTCCGCACACCCCCACCCCTCGTTGCAGCACATTCTGTTCAACGCAAACAACCAGGATGAGGTGAGCCGCGCCATGGTTCTGCAGCATGAGTTTGCGTCCCACTTCAAGGTTCCCATTGGCAAGAAGGAGAACTGCTCGTTTGCAGCCGGCGACCCGCGCCCGGAACAGAAGTCCATCTGCGCCTACCCGACAAGCTGGCTGCCCGACGGCCCCTTCCCAACTGCCCAGTACTCGTTCTTCGTGCCCCGCTCCTTCTACGGCGAGACAGTGCAGTGGATCATGCAGCGCCGCGACGGCCTCGACCTCCTCGTGCATCCCAACTCTGGCTGCGAGATTCAGGATCACCTGCACTGGTCCATGTGGGGTGGCACCCCTTGGGAGCTCAACGTCGCCGCCTTCCACTGCGACTCCCCCGGCTGCATCCCGCCAAACTAACTCCCTCCAACCACACGCTCCCACACCCACACCCACACACCCACACACCCACACACCCACACAAATACAAACACAACTCACGCTCTTTGCATACGAAACCGCAAGACCTCGTTCTGTTCTCTCTCCCTTACTCCCCACGCCCCGTTCCTCCATCCTTTCGTCCCCTCCCCTTTCTTCTTCTTTTCTGGTTCTTGGTCTTGCTTGTTATCATCACTGCCGTTGAAGACAACAGACACGTTGACCCTTCCCTAATCCAACGCCAAATACACATGACCAAGCCATGAGCCATGGGCAAACAAGCGCACAACAGCGGCGGCAGCAGCGCGTGCAAAGAGGACGTGATCGTGCACACACACACACACACACACACACACACACACACACACACACACACACACTTACGCACGCACGTGCACACACATACGCACACACACACACACACACACAACCTTGCTGCGCTATGAGAACAAGAGATCAAAGCAGTCCGTGGAGGCATCTGCAAAGAGAAGGTCGTCGCAGTCTGTCGCCATGTCATGAAAGAGCTCTGAGCAGTCTGTGCCCACTGTGTGGAACAAAGGGGACGTGCCTCTGTCCATGTGTTGTGGATCAGTGGCCCCGACACCCGTCGCCGCGAGAATGTCCAGCTCACTGCAACCAAGCGCAACAGAGGTCATGCCTGCAGCCGTCGCTGCGCTTGACGCTGTTGCTGTCGTCGCTGTTGCCTTTGTTGTTGTTGTTGTTGTTGTTGTTGTGCGTGGGGAAGGTGTTGACGTCGACGGGGCCGTAGCGAGTGGAGGAAGCGACGGGGTTGGTGGTGCCTCCTGCTGGTCATCGGAGCACAGGTAGAGCGGCAAGGCACCGTCCTGTTCAAACTCGGTCTGGCAGGTGGCCGTGCAGACGTCTGGGGAGGGCCCTGGTGGCAGGGAGAAGAGGTGGCTTGCCGCAAGCATGTCCAGCTCCGTCGTTTGCGTTTCCGTGTGGCAGGCAGCGATGTCGACCGCGCTCTTGGGTGTGTTGGTGCTCGTGCTCACGCTGTTGAAGCTTGTATTTGCAGCGTGTACTGCCATCGCAGGCTGGCCACCGAGCATGCCTCCAGCTTGAAGACAAACATCGTGCACTTGTGCCTGTCCATGGGTCGAGGTGGCAGCAGCTGCAGCGTCTGCGTGTCGAGTTGATGCGAGGTTGCCAAAGTCGGTGCTGGTCCCGATACTGCTGGTCATTGTGTGGGTTGCCCTCTGTGGGTATGTTGAGGAGGACGCACGCAGGTTTGGCGTACCAGAAGTCGTCTCCATTCTTACCATGGTTTGTGTTGTCACCGTCACAGGTGTTGTGGTGGTCAGCTGCGTTGCGGTGGCGGTTCTCGCTGCTGTTTCTGTTGTCGTCATTGCCGCTGTTCCTGTTGTCGCTGCCGTGTTGTGGGCAGCGCCAAGGACGATGACATCAGGGATGCTCGCAGCTGACACTTCGGCCAGCTGCCTGCGCAAGGCCTGCGTGTGCTCTGGGATGTCGTGCTTGAGGCGGCGGGCATGCAGTCGGAGCGCTTCGAAGGACGCAAATGGAGTGTGGGAGCAGCTGCATGCAAAGCGGACCCCAGTCCCGCACAGCAGCGCGTGTCGGCGGCAAGCAGACGCGTTCATAAACACCCGCCTGCACTTGCGACATGCATACTTTGGCCTCTCGCCATCACCCTTCGTTCCCCGCCCAGCCTCACCTCCCACTTCCCTCCTTTGCTTCTTTCTCTTCCTCTTCATCTCACCGCCACCACCACCACCATCACCCACACCAACAACAGCACTCCTAATCCGCTCGCTCAGCATCGTTGTTGTTGTCAGCGTGAGATTGGTTGTTGATTCATGCCAATCGATTGTTGGCGAAAGGACAGCCACGACGGAGATGAGTGCAGAGTTTGAACGCCGCAACGATGGTGTGGCCGACCTGCGGCACAAGACGCAGCAGCGGCTCAAGCACGACGAGGAGAAGGTTTGTCCATGTATGTGTGTGTGTGTGTGTGTGTTCGTCTGCACGTATCAGTGTTGACTTGCGCGTTGCACTGTGTCTCACCAAAGGCACCACACCCACCCACACACCCCCCCCCTTGTATTGCAGCTTCGCTTCTATCAAGAGAATGTAAAGAACCTGTCCCAGGCTACAGATCGCATGGTATGCGTGCGTGCATGCGCATGCGCGTGTGCTTGTGTCTGAGGCGGTATCTGGCTGTGGTGTCGCGCGAGAAGCCTCTCCACTGCGCCTTCCAATCAACACACATCTGCTTGCACCGTTGTGTGTTTGGTTGCAGGAGAACTTGCTGTCCTCGTTCCTGCAGCGCTTGGAAGATCTCCAGCACTCGATCGAACCCGTCTACGAGGAGACGTCTGTCTTGACTCGGTTCGTCTCGGCATGTGTCACACCCAATGATCAGAGGAAAGCATGCACACTTACACACACTCACACACACACTCACTCACTCACTCTTGCTTACTCATTCACTCACTCACATTCATATTCACTCACTCACTCACTCACATTCATATTCACTCACTCATACATTCACTCACTCACTCACTCACTCACTCACCAGGGCACGTGACAACATTGAGCAAGTGTCGGAGCTGCTGTCGGGTGTGGAGCGGTACTACAGACTGGCTCATGTGGCGCAGAAGCGATTGGACAGGGGGCCTTCTTACGAGCTGGAGGAGTACATTGACACTGTGAAGGAGATGGACGAAGCCATCGCCTACTTTGAAGACAACAACGCCAACAACCCGGAGCTCTCCCGCTTACGCACCATGCGCAAGCGATCACACGATGCGCTCATCCAAGAGTATGGCGAGGTGCTGGAACGGTACAGTCTTCCACTGGAGGAGGCCGAGATCCTCGCTCTCATCGACTCGCAGACGCAACTGCGCCTGGCCGGTCCGTATTCACACACAGTGTGTGTGTGTGTGTGAGTGTGTGTGTATGAGAGAGAGTGCGTGCGTGCGTGTGTGTGTGTGTGTGTGACAGAGAAAGACAGAGGGAGAGAGAGAGAGACGGAGACACACACACACACAGACACACACACAGACACACACACAGACACACACAGACACATGGTGCTACAATGGTTGTTGTTTCTTGCTTCAGCCACCACGACATCATCCATACAAATACCCTTTGGTCAAGCTCACACACCCGGTTGCATTGCGCGGGTTTGCACTGACAGCGGTGCCGCCACACGAAGCACCAGAGGTGCACACGTCACTGTCAACGGAAACCATCACCACGCTGAAGACGCTGGCTGAATGGATGATCATCACCTCCACACACGCTGACGAGTGCGTTGACATCACCGCCAGGGTGCGCCGCGTTCCCATGGAGTTGACCCTCGCCGGTCTCGCCCCAGATAATCGCCCATCCACGCCAGCGTACGTCTGCACCCGCGTGTGCTCGTTTGTGTGCTCATGTGTGTACGTGCTAGTGTGTGAATGTGTGCGGGTGTATATGTGCGTGTGTCTGATTGTCTGATTGTCGGTGTCTCTATCTGCCATTGTGCATTCATGGCCGTATGCATAGCACGCGCTCATGCTCTCTCTTATCTGTTGTGCATCTTGCCTGGACAAGCCAGTTTCCTTCTCACTTGCTGCTCACGTATCGCCACTGCGTTATGCATGCCAGGGGACGAAGCAGGCAGGGTTTGGCGGGGACACCCGCCCGCGCAGCCAAGAAGGTACATGCACACGTGCGCGCCGCTGTTGCTCGTCCGTACTGTCGTTGTTGTCTTGTTGTTTCTTGCTCCAGTGCTTCAGTGCTTCAGTGATCCCGAGTTTTGCTAGTCACGAGCACAACACCAACACGGCTGCCGCCACCAGCACCACCTGGGCGAGTTCTCACGCGACTGCCATCGACTGTGATCCCCTCTCGACCAGGTCCAGGGTGTGCTGCATCGTACGTCGTCGCTGCTGCGTAAATCCCGCGTTGATTCCATTCGCAGACACAGCCAGATCATGGGGTCGCCAGGCAGGGCGGTCAGTTGATAGCGTGATGTCATGCGTGGTATGTCATGTGTGGTATATGAGGCGTGGTATGTGATACGTGCGTGTTGCACGGTTCGCTTTGAGTGTGCTACCGCGGTCGCCGTGGGAAACATGTGTGTAATCCTCAGTCCAGCACTCACAACCCGTCTGGCTGCGCTTTTCCTTGTTTGTTTTCGATTCAGACGCAACCGGACGCGGATCGGACGGCCACCGACGCTTACGAGAAAGTTGGAGAACGATGATGACAAAGGCTGCCATGCACTCTCATCACACACACACACCACACACCAACTTGTTTAGGAGCACGTGCATGTGGACATCCACTGTGTGTTTCTCAAGTTCGTGTCAGTCATCCACTCACTATGTGCATGTATGCGTTCACCTGTGTTGTATGCATGGGCTGCACAGGGCACAGAGCCGTTGCTTGAGTTTCTGGACGTGTGTCTTGCATGCCTTCGCCATGAGCACGCCACCCTTTGCGCCTTCCTTCCTCGACGTACGACCATAAAGCTGCTGCGCGGTTGACGTCTGTATGTCTATGTGGATGTGGATGTGTATGTGTATGTGTATGTGGATGTGGATGTGTATGTGTATGTGTATGTGTATGTGTATGTGTACGTGCGTGCCTCCGTGTGTATGTGTGTGCATGTGTATGTGTGTGTATGTGAGTGTGCGTGTGTTCGTGTCGTTGTTTGCACGAGCGTTGTCACCTCTTTCATTTCCAACACTCGTGGTGTATTCAGGTTACTGTGCGCGTGTGCTGTCGGACGTGTGCGATCAAACACTCGACACCCTGCTCCTCAAGCTTCGCAAACTCACCACAGCTACCGGGTGCGGTCGTGTTCGACACTAATAACCACCCGCATGTGGAAACCTCGTCTGTATGTGTCTGTCTGTGTGTGTGCGTGTACATGTGCGGGTGTATGTAATGTGCATGCATTTCGCCTGATGTGGTGGTGAGCGGTCTATTTCAGCACTCCATGAAGGCGTCGTGGGTTGGCTGGGGGTCTCTGACGCTGTGACTGACACCGTGTGCACTTCCACATGTGTTTCTGTGGCGGTTGTCTGTTTGCAGCATGCAAAGCTCGCAACACCAGTACTTTTCCACGCTGGCTGCGTTTGATGTTCTTCGCCGCCTCCATGCGCTCGTATGCACCACCTGAACCCCCCACCCTTGTGTTGATTTGCATTACATTCCTGTGGCACGTGCATTGGTGCGAAGTGCATTGATGCGTTGTGTACCACTTCAGCTCACCCTCAATTCCCTTCTCTTCTCCCCCTCTTCGATCGCCTCCTGCCCCTGCGCGCGCACATGTGTGTGTGTGTGTGTGTGTGTGTGTGTGTGTGTGTGTGTGTGTGTGTGTGTGTGTGTGTGTGTGTGTGTGTGTGTGTGTGTGTGTGTGTGCGGTGATGATCAGGCGCCGTATTTCGTTGCCGTCTTTGACGCCACGGACACATCGGAGCATCGACGCCGCTTCTTCCAGGCGCAGCTCGAGTACGATCAACACATGTGCACCTGCAGATGCTCACGATTGTTTGCACGCCACCCATCTTCGGTCTCCTGTGCCAAACGGTGATCATCACTATGCGAAGCTCCTTCAGCCAAACTTACCGACTGACTTTGTGACTTAGCTCCTCACCTATTCACACACATGCCCTGCTGTTCGCTTACACCTTCACGTGTGCACAGCCTGGCAGCGGTTGTGCGGGCGGTGCTGCTCGGGTTCCAGGATTCCGTGAGCAGCGATCCGCCGGCACACGTGCGATTGCCACATTACACATGAAGGGAGGGGGGAGGGGTGAGTGGTGGCAGGAGGCAGCTTGTGTGGCGCACTTGCGCATTTGTGTGCTGAAGCAGTTGTCACATACTAACACGCACGCACACACACACACACACACACACACACACACACACACACACACACACACACACACACACACACACACATCGTCACTGCAGAAGCTGCCTGAGGACGGGACAGTGCACGAGCTGACAAGCCGCTCCATCAAGTTTGTTGTGAGTGTCATGGAGTATCATGAGGCAGCCGCGTCTGTGCTCGCCCACAAGCAGAGCGCAAACGCCGATCGCGGCATGCACTGGATCGCGGGCACAGAGGCCAAAGTCACCCTCACAAACTGGCTTTCCTCAGGTGTGTGCGTGGGTGTAGGTGTACGTGTGTATGTTTCTCCTGCTGCTTTCCTGCTCACATCAACATTTTCTGCTCATTCACGACCCTCATCCACAAACACACAACACACCCACTCACACACACACACACACACTCACACACACACACATTTACACACACACACACATACACTTTTACACACACACACATTTACACACACGCACACATCCTCTCGCTGCTCCCGCTGCTGCATGTTTGCCGTTCAAGTGTTGACGGCTTTGAAGGACAATCTTGAGCTGAAGGCGCGGACGTACGAGGACCCGACCATCCTCAACGTCTTTCTCATGAACAACTACGCGTACATTGTCAGGTGGGCGTGTGCCGGTTGCACGGTGCTGTGTTTGTTGTGCGCAATGTTTGCGCAATGTTTGTTCGCGCCACTTGTTTTGTGGATGCGATTACATGGCTGTTGTGGTTGGAAGCCGAAGCAAGCTGTGTTGTGCGTATGCTCAGCTTGCTCTTTATCTCCATGGTTGCAGTGCACTCAAGGGGAACGTATTTGAAACCCATGTGACGGAGGAAACACTGCGTGAGGTGTGTGCGTGTGTACGCGCGCGCGTGTGTGTTTGCTTGTGTATGTGCGTGTGTGTGTGTGTGTTCAGCCTCTGCTGTTTGTATGGCATCTGCCACGTTGCGACACGTGACACCAGCCAAGATTTGACGATTGCCTGTGTGTGTATGTGTGTGTGTGCATTCTGCAGCTTGTTGTGCACTTTGAGGAGCTTGTGGAGACGGCAAAGGACCTTTACCTCAAGACGACATGGGAAACGCTTCTGGTACGCCTGGCAGCGTCAGCTGACAACGAACAGTGGTGGCGCTTTCAAGCACACTGCTTTTACCGCTTTCATTGGCGTCGAGTGCGTGCGTGTGTGTTTGTGTTTGTGTACGTGTACGTGTGTGTGTACGTGTACGTGCGCGTGTGTGTGTGTGCGTGTACGTGTACGTGCACGTGTGTATCTGCTGTTGTGCCACTCGACGCATTGACTGGCATCACTGCACACACCATTCGTGCATTCACTCACTCGCTCACTCACTCACTCCCTCAAACACCATCGTCACCGTCATGGTTACAGGGCGCGTTGAAGGTTGAGGCGGTGTCAACACCGCTGTCGAAGCGGGAAAGGGATATGATCAAGGAGCGCTACACCACGTTCAACACGGAGCTGGAACGGATTCAGGCCCTACAGCAGGAGTTTGCCATTCCAAGCCAGGTGTGTGGTTATGGAGCTGCCGTAGCTGTGGTCTCCGTGTCACTGGCAGCACGTGCCCTGCTGCACACAACAGCCCCTTCCTGCCTTGCTTTAACACACACACACACATGCACATTCACACACATGCACACACACGCACGCATACGCAGGCGTTGCGGGAAGAGCTCACGCAGACGAACCTTGACACGGTGCTGCCGCGCTTTGTGGCGTTCAACAACGCATACAGCACATCGGGCTTCTCGCAGAAGAACCCGCACAAGTATCTGCGGTTCTCACCAGATGATGTGGAGCGCATGCTCAAGGCCCTCCTGGGCGGGGATGACATGGCGTAGCAAGGGCGCGTGTAAGTAAGTAAACCACACAACAACTTTTTTGATCGCAACAACGGGGTAGGGGGAGAACAACACTCTGGCTCGCGCAGGTGTGCAGTGGTCACGTCACACTGGCACGGACAGGCAGACTGATGGTGACAGTGTGACAAGGATATGGACGGACAATGATGTGGTGTTGTGATGTTGTGAGACACGCAGGCAGCAGGTAGTCGCAAACAAAGCACAACAGCAGCGACACAGCAGCAGCGACAACCAAACAAGCAGACCACACTGCATTTTTTGATGTCGCTAACCTGTTCGCCCTGACGACCACTCGGCCAGCAGCCAACGACGCAGTCAACAGACGCGATGGGCACGGACGACAACAGCGGCGGTGGTGGAGGGGAAGCCAACTTTGTGGAGGTGGTACATGGGGCTGGGACGGTGACGTACTTGAACCTGGACTGCCAAGTGTGCCACTTTTATGACCAGGTTGCACAAATATGCAGCATCCCACCGGATTCAAAGGTGGACCTGGCCACAGACCGCGGCCGCCTGGCGCTGTTGCCCGAGCTCGCCAACTCCAGCCAGCCTGTGACCACGGTGCTCAAGTCGCGTTCGGTGATGGTCCCGGTGCTGCTGATGCCACTGGCGCTGGGTGATGGCTTTGATTCGGAGACTGCATCCGTTGCCCCACCATCGAGACCGTCTTCAACGCGCTCCACATCTGGGCGACGCAAGAAGGAGGAGGAGGAAGACGTCGTGTCCATGAGTGTCGGCCGGTACCGGTTCTCGCCCCTGTTGCAGGCGGATGTCATCGCCTCTCGATTCCCTCAGTTTGAAATCCATCCCCCGGGCAAAACAGGCTCATTGAAGAAGAGCGCTTCACGCCGCATCTCTCGGGTTAATCTTGTCAAGTCCAAATCAAAACACCCCTCCATCACCTCCTGACGCTCCACGTGTGTGTGTGTGTGTATTGTGTGTGTGTATTGTGTGTGTGTGTATTGTGTGTGTGTTTTTGTGTGTGATTCTTTGTGTGTGTGTGTGTGTGTGTTTGTATGCTTCTTTGTGTGTATTGTGTGTGTATTGTGTGTGAGTGTGGTTTTAGTTGTTCTTTTTCTGCTTGTGTATGTGTGCGCTTGTACGTGTCCATGCTTGCGTATGCCTGTGTCCCTTGTGTTGGTCGTTTTCCCTTGGTCACTTGACCCTTCGATGTCGTTACCGCTCCCTCTCCTTTCTTGATAGTTGAACCCCACTGCACGCTTGCTTTGCCCTCCTCAATCTCTCCCACACACACTTTGCAGCAGCAGCTGCTGCTGCTGCTGCTTGGGTGCATATCACGTGCCATCTCATTTTCATTCAATACAGCTACCAAATCAAATCTTATCGGCCTTCACCCTTCCACCCGCACCCTGTACCATGGCTTGACTTGACTCGGGGAGTGTCTTCAATGTCAACACGACTTTCAATTAACATACAAAGCGTCAGCAATTGTAGCGTAAGACGAAGGGATGGACGTTACGCACATTCACACACATACACACATGTGCACAGGGGCTAGTCAGCAGAAGGCTTGCAGGTACACACGCGCAAGCTTGTTGTCAGTCAAGCTTGTCATCAACACCCCAATCATGATCGATCAGCATCACGAAAAAAGACAAATCACAACACAGGCTCAGATATAACCTGGCATGGGAAATGAGCAGCACACACACACACACAAAAAAAAAAAAACGTGTTCAAAGAGCAGCAGCAGCTTGTCTAACATTCGCACGCACACGCACACACACGCACACGCCGACACAGCCTCACAGCTGCTCTTCGGTGAGGGTGGTGAGCTGTTCTGGGCAGTGGGCGCGGATGATGGCCTCAAGACGAAGGCAGCGTGCAGAGAGACGGCGCACAGACGCCTGCAGCTGGTGGCGGGTCAACTCCCGCTCCCGCGCAACCCTGATGAACCGCCTGTCCCGGGCATCCTTCTGGTACAGCCTGTTCTTCATGCGGCGGCGCGTCTGTCGCAGGTCTTGCAGCTGATCCGCAGTCAGGTGCTTGTTGGTGCGCGTAAAGTGCACAAATTCAGCACGTGGCATGGTGAGGAGGTGCTCGTCCCACTGGTACTTGGACTCGAGCTTCACGCCGCGCTTGTGCGGGTGATGGGCGCTGCTGTGCCCGTGATCACTCGAGTTGGACGATGGAGGCGAGGTCTCTTGCTCCTCCTCCTCCTCCTCCTCCTGCTGCTGCTGGTGGCGCTTGGACTGCTTGCTGCGCTGCTTGTGCACTTGGCCCTGTTGCTTCTGGCGCAGGCTTCTCCGCGGTGCAGAGCCCGCTGAGGACATGCTGCTGCTCGCCATGGCGCTGATGCTTGCAGGCATCATGGTCATCACGTGCGGCTGCGATGCCTGCGAGACAGCTGCTTGCTGCCGCTTGCTGCGCCTGCGCCTGCGACCGCGGGTCATCGGTGCGCGCAGCCGGTTCGCTGGCGGCGGCGGCGTTGTCGTGCGCGTGTCCATCAACATGGGGTCGCCGCACATGGCAAAGTCGAGCGCCTGTTCATCGTCCTCGGAGAGCATGTTGGCGACAGGCGAGGGGGAGAGCTGCTCCTCCGTCTTGAGGTCGCTCCCGCTGTACGTGCTGCTGTTCCCCGTGATGGTGCCCGTGCCGGTGCTCGCGACACGGCCTTCCACCATGTTGCCAGCGTGGGTGAGGGCCGCTGCCGAGTGCTGTGGCGCCATCATCGGCACCAGCACGGCGGGCACGCCGCTGGGCGAGTACGCGTACGAAACCGCTGGATTTGCGCTGCTGCTGCTGTTGGTGTTGTTATTGCCGGGGTTGGCGTTGGCCGTGAAGGTGCTGTAACTGGCGTAGTTGTTGTAGTTGCTGGCGGCCAGCGAAAGGGCTGGCGGCATGCTGTGCTGCCCAGAGCGGCGCGGTGCTAGGCACGAGCGGCGAGCCGATGCCTGCGCAACACCCTGATTGCCGGCAGCGCCGTTCACCATGGCGTCCTGCGGCATGTAGGGCGCCAGAGCGCTCAGCATGGCGGGCGGGGTCGGCGACGACGAGCACGCTGCCTCGTTGAGAAAGTCCACGTTCCACAGGTCCAGCGTTGCCGTGGCGGGCACACCTGGGGGCATGCCCTGCGCCCTGCTCACAGACATCTGCGTCACCTGGGCCGACGCCTGCAAACCGCCCACCATCACGGCATCAGTCATGGTCGTGCCAGCAGCTGAGGCTGGCGTGACGTTGCCGTTGCCGTTGGTCGTGACGGCTGATCTGGCGGTAGCGCCAGTCGTCTGGGCCGCGGCGGAGGACGAGGCCGGAGGCGGGGTGCCTGGCGGCAAGGGGAAGAAGCCTGGCGAAGGCTGATCCTGCGCTAGGAGGTCGAAAAACTCGACCGTTGGCGCCGTCGCAACATTGGTGGTTGGCGCGGCAGCGTCGGAGGATGAGCGTGCTTCTTGTTGGCTTGCCGTCTTGAAGGGGTTCCCAAAGTCGGGGAAAGGCAGAGAGGTGGCGTCGCACTCGGCGGGGCAGTTGGACAAAGGGGAGAGGTTAAGGACAAGGCCTTCGTCGTCCTCAAGATCTTCGTGCTCTTCTTGTTCCTGCTGCTGAGGCAAGGGAAGCGGGAGCGGCGGAGGAAGCTTGGTGGTTGAGTAAAGGGCGGCGCTGGTGCTGTCCGGGAAGCTCACGAAGGCTTCAGCGTCAGTAGAGTGAAGACTGTTGCTGCTGCCTGCGCTTGAAGCAGTGTGAAGTGTTTCGTCAAAGAGGTTGAGCGGTGAGCGCCGATTGTCGTCGTCGTCGTCGTCGTCTTCCTCACCAGCGACGGAGCAGAAAGGAGATGCATGGGTCGAGGAGTGGCCCGCAAAGCAAACTCTGTGCATCACAGGAAAAAATGCCGTTGCTCAAGGGAGAAGACAAACAAGAACAACCCAGGGAGATAGATGGTTCAAGCCAAAACACAGAGAAAGGTTGGAAGGGGGGGGGTGGAATAGGGGGAGCTGGTTCAGGGATCGAACAGTCGTAGCAGACGAGTCGAGGTGGAGGAAGGGAAAGAATGGCAGAAAGAATGGAAGAAGAAGGGAAGGACGAGGAGGAGGAGGAGAGGGAGAGAACGACAGAAGGGGGAATATGGGAACTCGGTGATGTTTTGTGGCAGCAGCTAGTCTATTGGGTGTGGTGGTGGTGGTTTCGTGTCTCGGAGCCCTCCGGAACCCCGTGCGCTTCGCAAAAGAGACGAAGCTGCCGAGGTTTGGTGGTGGTGAGAAAAATGTGAGCACAGCCCAGGAAGCACGCACAAGCGCACACGCACACGCACACGCGCACAGCACTCCAAACAAGGCACGACACACGGCACGACGCACAAGAGCAACGACGAGAGCGTGCGCGGGCGAGTGCTGATGGGCTGCGGGAACTGCGCTGCTGCGCGGCTTCGGAGTGCTTTTCGCTTGCGCATGCGCACTTGCGGTGTCCCTGCTGGCGGCTTCTGCGTTTCCACGCTGGCCGTTGGGTTGCCTTGCTGCTTTCAGAACAAGTGCTGACGAGCCAAGCATGAGCACACCGGCGCAAAAAAAACCCGGGGTAGGACTCCCGGTTGACGATAAATTGTACAAGATTTCAGTCAATATTCCGCACAATACCATGACGTGGCGTTGTGCGGTTTGGGCGTTTGTTCTGCTTGTCCGGAAACGACACGCTTACTTGCTTGCTGGGCTTGCTTGCTTGCTTGGAGGGTGCTGGCGGTTGACGCAAACGAGGGCACGCACCCACGCAACAACCACGGCCCCAGCAACATGCCATGCCTAGCATGCCTATGCCAACCAGCCAGGTGGCACGCAAACGAGTTTTGCACGTTGTTGTGTTTTGTTGGCGTGTTTGTTGGTGTGGTGTTGTTGTGTGACGTTGCCTCATCACCCTGGTTTGGAGCTCTGCAACATTGGAGCTCGCAACGAGTCCATGGATGGATGTATGTATGTATGGTAGTTTTTGACTCGGGTGACGTTGCCGTCAAACAGGGTCGCTGACTAAACACTCTCGCTCGCTTCTCGCTTGCACTACAGTCATCGTCAATCCATAAACACAACAAACAGCACATCTTGTGCCTGCACAAGAGTGGCAGCGAAGGAAACTCGACTCCACTCACAAAAACAAGATCAAGAACACCAAAATGACAAAACACCTGAAAAAGAAATGCACACGTAAAGGAGCGCCAACAGAGATGCAGGGCGTTGCAATGCAGGGCGTTGCAGTGCAAGGGTGCTGCAATGCAGGGCGCACACCTCCACACACACACACACACAGCCACAATACACACAAACCCACGACACACACACACAACCACAATAACAATAACAATACACACGTAGCACATTAGAAGGAATCGACGTGAGCAGCACGATAGGTGCCGACTGTGCCATCCTGTTTCATGCCTTTGCAGATCCCATTCACGGCGGGTGAAAGCTGAACAATCACCTCGCCTTCCTCAAACGACAGCTCCTCCGCCGTTCGTGCCACATACGTCACAATCGCCTTGCACACGCTCGATCCACCTCCGTCGCCACCCCCCTTGTTTTTCTTCGCCGTGCTCGCTTCGCCCGGGTTTGTACGCTTCCGTGCAGCCGCCACAGGTCGCTGCTGCTGCTGCTGCTGCTGCTGCTGTGACGAGGCCTGGTTGCTGGTTCGTGCGCGCGGCCCAGCAGATGGGCGTGCTGGTGGTCGGCTCGGCGCACCCTGCGAAGCGCCACCTGTGCGCGTGCTTGCGCGTGCAGCTGGGCGTGAAGGCCCCGCAGTCGAAGGCGACGACGAAGAAGAACTCGAGCTCGCAGGCACACGAGTCGCCCGCGGTGCTGGTCGTCGCTGTGACTGCTGCTGCTGCTGCTGCTGCTGCTGCTGCTGCTGCTGCTGCTGCTGGTGGTGGTGGTTCGGGTGCTTGCGGGAGGCGGGTGGCGTCGCTGTTGGTGCCGACTTGCGCACAGATGGTGCCGAGGGCCGCGATGGTCCTGACGTTGCTGCCGTTGTCGTTGCAGATGCTGCTGATGCCGGCGTTGACGACGAGGGTGCGGGTGGTGTGCGGGAACTGCTCGTCTTGGTGTCTCCGCCGTCTCGGCTCAAAGCGTGAGCGGGTGGCTTGCGTGCTGTTGATGCCCGTGCAGGGGCGCGCGGCTTAGCTGGTGCTGACGGTGACACTGCCGCCTGTGGTTTGGTCAGGGCAGGCGCTGTACGCGCTGGTGTCGCTTTCACGCTTGCACGTGGTGCCGCTGTTGATGCGCCCGACGCAGGCGCTGTTGCGGGCTTCTTCACCCCAGGGCTCCCTACCGGCCTGGTTGTGGGTCTCACACTCGGCTTGCGCTGTGGTCGTTGCGCTGGCTGCTGCTCACGCTGTGGCTGTTGCTGCTGAGCTGGCGGTACAGACTGTACAGGCTGTGCTGACTGTTGCTGCTGCTGTTTGGCTGGGCGCGCTTGACGTGGGGGCGGCAGCGCACTCGACGGCGGCGCCTGCGTGACGGCTGCTGTCGCTCGCGGTGGTGGCAGCTTGTGCTTCGCGCCCTTGTCAGCATGGGGAGCTGCTGCCCCTGATGTCGCGGGTGCTTGCTGCTTGAGGGATTTCCCCAGCTCCTTTACCAAATTGTTGCCATTGTTGCCATAGCCATTCGTACCATCACCACCACCAACGCCGCCCTCCCTGGCTGCAGGTGCTGGTTTGGTGGCGGCGGGCGCGACCTTGTGGCCGGCAAGTTGACCTGGCTTCTTCGGCGGTGGCGGTTTCGGCCGCCCGGCACCTGAGTTATCCGCACCATCCGTCTTTGCAGTCGTCACCGCTGCTGCGGTGCTCACACGTGCGCCGTCCTTCTTCACCGCGCTGCCTGCCAACGCAGGCTTGGTTGGTTCAGGTGCAGCGCGTGCAGCAGGTGCAGGCGCTTCGCTGCTTCGTGTTGGCGCCTGCTTGGATGGCGGTGGAGGACGCGGTTTCGCGTGCACGACAACCGACGCCGCCTGTGTTGACGAAGAAGAAAATGCAGCAGCCGACGAAGACGTCAAAGCAGTTGCTTTGTTGTTGGCAGTCACGTCACTGGAGGATGGATGCCGCTGTGCTGCCACCTGCGCCAGTTCCCGGAGCTGCTGCTGCTGTGCTGTCTTTGCCCCCGTTGACGGCTGCTGATGTGGACTTTGTGCTGCAGGCGCTGCAGGCGCTGCAGGCAGCGGGGCAAGCTGCATCTTCGCTGCATCTTGCTGCTCCTCCTGCTTCCCCGCTCCTCTCGCTTGTGGCGGCGGCGGCTTCTTTTTCATACTTGCTGCAGTGGGCGCCGCCTTTGGCGCTTGTGCAGGTGCGGCGGTTGGTGGCGGCGGTGGTGGTGCAGGCACGGCTCTCTGTGGACGCAGGTTGCGCACATGGGAACGGCGTGACACACCCCGTTGCTGTTGGCGCTTCCCGCCGCTGCTGCTGCGGCCCTGCCCAACTGGAGGCGGTGGCTTGCGCGACGGCGGCGCAGACGTGGGGGGCGGCAGTCGACGTGCCCCCTTGCCACTGGGCTCTGATGGCGCAGTGCGGAGCGCAGCTGGCAGCGGTTTCCCAGCCTTGCTACTGCTGCCGCTGCTGCTGCTGTCGTGAGTCTCCCCGTTGGACTCATTGGCAGCACCACCCCGCTTCCCAAGAGCAGCCGCCAGCTCACTCTGTATGGCCATTGGGTTGGTGGCGGGCGATTGCGTACCTCCTTGTTGCTGTTGCTGTTGCTGTTGCTGCTTGGCCTTGCTCTTGTTTGGAGGTGGTGGCTTTGCCTTCATCTTCACGCTCTTTGACACGGCGGTTGAGGTCGCTGCTCCTGACGAAGGTGCCCCTGGTGGTGGCGGCGCTGGCGGTGGTGCCGGTGCTGAAGAGGCTGGGAACTGCGCGGTGGAGGGCGTGTCCTTCGCCACCGCTGCTGCTGCAGGTGCTGCCTCCGTGCTAGCACGACCCGCGCCCTGTACACCTTCCTCCTTGTGCTGCTGCTGCTGCTGCTTCCCGCGATTCGGAGGCGGCAACGGCGGGGGCGGCAAGACAGATTGCGCAGCGAGTTGACGGTACTTTTCAGGCGTGTGTTTCACATATGTCCCCGGGAACCAGCCCTCACGCACCCCAATCCTGCCCAGCCACCAGTCCCCTGTCTTGTCGATGACCGTCAACACGTCGTCCTCATGCAGCTCCAGATCCGCCTCCCCAACTGGCCTGTACGCATACAATGCAGTGTAGCACGCATCCGGCCCAGAAGGAGCAGGCTCCGCCTCAACCGGGAACGCATACAGCTGCTCATACATGTCCTCAAGTTCCTCATCGTCCCCCACGTTGTCGTACAGGTCGCTTGCCCGCGTACCCTTGCCCTGGTTTCCGGGCCCACCTGCATTTTGTTCGCTGTCCTTGGGCACAACATATGATGCAGGGAACCAGCCCACGGCGCCCTCGCAGCTGCCGTACGCCCAGCCATCATCACGCACAAGGGACACTTCCACCTCTGCTCCAGATGTCAGCTTCAATCCGTCCCCTTCTGAAGGGTCATAAGCATACTGCGCAACCATCACGGTGACTGCTGCTGCTGCTGCGGCGGCGGCGGCGGTCGTGGTGGTTTCGCTGGCCCCTTCCTGGCCCGAGGGCTTCTCCGCTCTGCTCGCTGTGTTGTTGTTGTTGTTGTTGTTGTTGTTGTTGTTGTTGTTGTTGTTGTTGTTGTTGTTGGTGGTGGTGGTGGTGGTGGTATGGCTGGTGCTGTTATTGCTGCTGTTGTTGTCGCGAGTCTTGTCGACAGCAGACTCCGCTGGTGTGGATGCTTGTTGTGTCGTGTTGGTCGGGGCACTGACTGGCTGCGATGATGACGATGGTGAAGACTTGCTTTGCTTCCTTTCAGGCTTGACAGGCTTAGCGCGCGTTTGCCGTTGCTGTTGTTGCTGTTGCTGCTGCCCCAGCTGAGCTGCCAGCTGTTTGTTCAAGGCGCCCATCAGCCCTTGTGCCCGCGCGGCTGTTGAGGTTGCAGGTGGTGCTGTATTGCTCGTGTTCAGGCTGGCAGCTGTGGACGAATTGCGCTGTGGTGGTGTTGGCCGCTTGCGCCCGTCTTTCGTTGCCTTTTCCTCCTCACCTGCCTTCGACGCCCCAGCTGCTACCGTTGCTGCAGCGAGCCGCGGGGGAGGAGGAGGGAGAAGAGATGTGCGCTTGTTGTCCCTGCTGCTGCTGCTGCTGCCGCCGCCGCTGCTGTCACGACCGGCAGTGCGGTCGCCAGATTCAAGCTCTGCACGCTCTACAACGGAGGGCAGGCGCGATGGCAGATCATCCACCACCGTCTCCTCCACCGTCTCCACCTGCACAAACGACGATGGGAACCAGCCGGAGCGCGCACCAATCTTCCCGCACCACCACCCATTGTCCGCCTTCTCCGTCACCTCCACCATGTCGCCGGCCTTGAGGGCAAGAACCGTGTCCTCGGCCGAATCATAGTCGTGCAGGGCACGCGCAACCACGCAGCTGCTGGGGCGTGGCAGCAGCATGGAGCGACGCGCATCCCCGCCTGGCAGTGACGCCGACGCCGATGTCGCATTCTTGTCCACCACGCCGCCAGCGCTGCCATCGCCCCGAAGCGGCTTGAGTGGCATGGCCTTGATGTATGCCGTCGCAGGCTCGGCCGCGTTGTTGTCTGCCAGCCCCAGCCCGCCTTCCTCGCCGGACGTGCCGGCCTTGTGCCCCTGACTAAAGATGACAGAGGGGATGGCATACCCTTCGCTGTCCGTGGTGTCTGGACACGGCAGCTTGCTTGTGCCGCCGTTGGTGTATGTGCGGCCGCGCATGGGTGGCGACGGCGCGTCGGTGCTCTGGCTGCCCAGCAGGTAAATGGAGGACGAGTGTGACGGTCTCGCCCCGTGTCCCACTGTTGTTGCCGCCGACGCCGTGCTGGTCGCCGTGCCGTGCCGCCCACCGCTGCTCCACGACTTGATGTCGCGAAGCGCATCGCCACGATGACGGCGGCGGCGGCCCCGAACAACCACGCACGCGATCAGCGCACACAGCACAACAAACCCGCCGGCAGCGCCAGCAATGATGGGGATGGGAACACTGCCAGATCCGCCACCCGAGCTCGCGCCGCTGTCAGCACCCGTCTCCGATGACCGCGCCGCAGCCTCCGTGGCAGAAACATCCCCTTGAAACACGCCGCTCACGTCGGCAAACGTACCACCACCGCTGCTTGTGCGTAGCCGTGTCAGCACACCACCAGATGACACGGCAGCATCCATGGCGCCCGCCAGCAGCGCACCAGACACAACACTACTGCTCGCTGAATACAACACCTGAATTGACGTTGTGGCACGACGACGACGGTTGCCGCTGCCGCTGCTGCTGCTGCTGTCGCGTGTGTTGATGATATCCACAATCGTCACCTGCACGCTGCACGCGCACGCTGATGCAATCTCGCCATGCAATGTGTTTGCAAGCGTATCCACCATGCTGTTAGTGACGGAGCCAAGCCCAACAAGCTCTAGCAGCGCATATCGTGTCACACCTGCGGGGAGTGTGGAGTGTGTGTGTGTATTTGTGTGGAGTGTGGAGTGTGGAGTGTGGAGTGTGGAGTGTGTGTGTGTTTGTGTGGAGTGTGCGTGTGTGGAGTGTGGAGTGTGTGTGTGTTTGTGTGGAGTGTGCGTGTGTGGAGTGTGTATGTGTGTATGGGGTGTGTGGAGTGTGTGTGTGTGTTTGTGTGGAGTGTGCGTGCGTGGAGTGTGCGTGTATGTGTGTGCAAATCCATGTGTGGGCGATGTGCGTGCATTGTGTGTGTGTAGTGTGTGTGCAGGGTGTCGTTTGTGAGTTTGCGAATGTGCGTTTGCAACCGTGCATGAGCTGAAAATGCAACGAGTTCGCAGGTAAGACAACATACGCAGGCTGCCAGCGAGAAATGATGCAGCACGTAACCATTATGTGCAAACAACACAGAGGCGGTGGTGGCAACACATACGCTGTGTGGCAGTCGTGGTGGTTGGTCGGGCTTGGGTCGTCGAGGCTGTGGTGGTAGTCGTGGTGGTAGTCGTGGTTGTGGTGGTAGTCGTGGTGGTTGTGGTAGTCGTGGTTGTGGTTGTGGTGGTCGTGGTCGTGCGGTCTGCTGGAGCTTGCACGACACGAACACTCCCACAGCCAACCACTTCGCTCGTGTCCTCCGTGTACACAACAAGCACGCTCCCAGACACATCCTCGCTGACAGGCAGGAGAAGGTCGGAAAACACGCCAGACACGCCCGCTGGCGAAACAGAAAGCACACCATGCTTGCTTGTCAAATCACCAACAGTGCACCCGCGCTGCTGCGCGGCTAGCCCGCACTGCGCCTCGTAATCGCAGCTCTCAGCCACACACACGTTGTACGAGTTGAGGGGAGTGCCCACGGTGCAGTTGTACGCATCGCTCTGCAGCTGCCACACAAAGGGGCCCGCTGGCGCCTGTGCACTCGCAGCGAGCGAAACCGTGATCATCGTCTCCTGCGACACGTCGTGCTGCTGCTCAAACACAACCTTGCCCTCGACGCTCCCACGCACATCGGCGACGGCGCGCCTGCGCCACTCAGTGTCCACAATGCGCGCGCACACGGCTGCCGCGCCCGTTGTCGCGTTTGTCACGACGAGTGTTCGGCCAGCGATGCTGTGCGGGCCAGAGAGCGGCAGTTCCGCGTCTGGCAGCACGGCGCCGCTCACACCGACAAACACGCCAGCGAACGAGCCAACCTTGGCAGACAGGAGGCCCACGGGCGATGGGTCGTGGGTGGAGGTGAACGGGCTGAACCACGCAGGCGCGCCGTGCTGGGCACACGCAACGGCAGGGGGAGCGTCCACCACGCCAAAGTCAGCGAAGGCGCCGCCAAGGCCCTCGACGTCGATGCGAACGAGGGGTGTGTCATCAGGCGTGCGCTGGAAGAACGACACCGCACCCGTGAGCAGCCCGCTGCTCGCAAGCGTGATGTTGGCGAGGAGATGGCGCGGCTCGGCTGTGATCAGTCCAGCGCATGCCAGCACACCGCCAGCATCACCACCTTCACCACCACCGCCATCCATCGTCGCCCCATCCAACACAGTCAGTGTGCGGTTGAGGACGCTTCCGTCATCAAGGAGCGGCAGCTGGATGTCCACGCGCTGGAACCGAAGCGCAACTTCGCTGCTCAGGGCGAGGGCGCCGTGCTTGCTCGTCAAGTCGCCGACGCGGCAGTTCTGCTGGTAGCCGCTAACGGAGGAAGGGATCGTGCTTGGGCCACAGCGGGCGTTGCTGCCTTGGTTGAATGGATCAAACAGAGCGCCCGTTGCAGCGCACTCCGCCTGCAGCGTCTCGTGTGGAAACACAGAGCCATCCCGCACCTCCCAGTCGTGCGTGACCTGGCCGCGAGCCGCCAGCGCAGCACCAACCACTCGCATGTCAACGGCAAGCAGCGTCTCCGCCGCCACGCCGTCAAAGCGCACTGCCTGTCGCGCCACCACGCTGCCTTGCAACGGCGACGTAAAGGCGGCCCGCACGACATGCGTGCTGTGGTGAAGCGGCACCGAGATGACGGCGCACAGGCGCTCCGTGCCGTCTGCGCTGGTGATGACGAGCGTGCGGCCTGAGATGAGATCTTGGCCAAACAAGGGGCTGGCGACGTCCGTGATGGTGCTGCCTTGCAGCGGCATGCTGGCATGTCTGCGGCTGAGCTGGCCCACGGGGCAGCCAAAGGGATCCGCGGTGGTGCAGTCGCGAGTGGACTGCGCAGGGTTGAACACGCCCCCAACGACGTCGTCCCTGCACGCGTCATCGCCAAACACCGGCAACGACGTGCGCAGCTCACGGACCTCCCACACATACGCAGACGACGACACGTACGCGTCGAGGCCGCGCTGGCTGATGGTCGTGTCGCTGCTGCCCGACACCTGCCAGAACTCCACCACGCGCTCCTGCTCACCGTCACTGGGAAGTACTGCCTGCGCCACGCGACCAGTGCGTGTGTCCTCCGCACACACGCCGTCATCGCCAGCGAGCGTGCCGAGCGGACAAGCGCGCACGCAGGCCTCAGCCGCGGGATCATACGCGTGACGGCAGCCGCCAACGCAGTCGCGTGGGGTGGGACCTGTGCACCCGCCACCTGCGCATTCAAAGTGGCACGCCTTGCACGTTGCGCCCTGGGTGAAGGAGCTGTTGCTGAGCTGCTCGCATGTCTCCAGACACTGGCCGGCAAACTCAAGGCTACGGCACCCACCCACACACTCCGAGGGCGCTGGTCCCGTGCAGCCGCCGCTGCAGAGGAGACTGCACGCCTGCTGCTCACCTACCGCCGTCAGAGCAGCACACGCGCGACCAGCACCTGCTGGCGGTTCAGGCTGCAATGGCAGCAGCACGCCCACAAGTGCGTAGGACGCACCAGCACCAGCACCAATAGCTGTTGTGTTGGCGACTGCAGTCGTGGCAGCTGGCGGCAGGGACGACACATGCATAAACTGCAGGTAATGAAGGCGAGGCGCCGAGGCCACAGCACGCAGCACCACCGCGCGAGCGCCATTGGAGAAAGCGAGCTGCTGTGCTGACAAGTCGACGATGGACGGGGCATCAGCGCTCAGCATGGCGCGGAGAGCCGTGAGCGTCGGCGCTTCCGTGCCGGCCGCCTCGCTGTGGGGAACAGTGGCTGTTGGCACAAGGCTGACCACAGTGCCCAGTGTGGGGAACGGTGAAGCGTCAGCGTCGTCCAGCGTGAACGACGAGCCAATGCCAATGTCACCCTCCTGGACTGATAGCAGCACAAACACTTCCAACGCGGGCACCGGCACGTCCGATGCAAGCGCGTGCGCGCTTCTCTGCTCCGCCATGGCACTGGCAGTCACGCACGCCAGCTGCCCAAGCAGCGTGCTCTCGCTGCACATGGGTGGCGGCGGCGGCCGCGTCAAAGCAGCGGCAGCGTCGCTCACGAAGGCCTCGCACACGTGCGCAGGCGGCAGCGGCGGCTGTGACCACGTCGCGCCGCTCACATCCTCTCCAACAGCAATCGCTGCTGAAAGGGCCGACACGTGCGCATCGTTCCGGGTCAGCGATGAAAGCACAGCGACGCTGGCGAGGGCGTCTGTCCATGCAGCGCGCAGGCCAACGCTGCCACGATACAGCGTAGACGGCGCGTTGGGGGTGGTGAACACGGCCTCTGTTCCCGCACCACTGCTGCTACTGGCGTTGACGGGAACCACGGGCAGCAGCTGCGCGCACGCCGCAGGGAGATTGCCCAGCTGCATCAGCACAAGCGTGCGATAGGCGAGGGACCGCGGCCCAAACAGCGTGACCGTGTGGTCAACAAACGTGTGCCTTGCGCGACGTAACGCCTGCACAAACCCAAACTTGCCGCTGAGATCTCCGGCAGCAAACGCATCTTGCGCGCAGGGGCGGCCAGCAACAACCGTGCAATCGCGTGGTGCGTACGGGGCAAACGTGCTGCCCACAAACGCAGGCCCACACGGCTGCTCCTCTGGCAGACGGGCGTCGAGCGGGCGCGAGGACACCTGAAACTGGGCCAGCGTCTGGGCAGCCTGTGTAAAGTCCGTGGTGACGGTGGCGGGTAGCAGCGGCGACGACTGGCGAACAGTGACGGTGGAGGAGCCGGCTGTGGCAGACACAACGCGCTCCTCAAGCTGGCCAATCGGTGCGCAGCCCAGCAAGGCGCTGTCCTCCTCAGCGACAACCGCCAGCAGCTGGCCGACGATGCTGGTGCTCTCGCCCTCGCTGTCGCTTAGCACAAGTGCTCCATCGCTGAACACGTAAGACGAATGCGTTGTTGTGTCCAGTGTCACGTACCCTTGTCGCCCCGCAACATCTCCTGTATGTGCGTGTGATAGTGTGTGTTTGTGCGTGTGGTTGCGTGTATGAGTGAGCGCATATCGTTGTGTGAGTGCAGACGCACACATATGCGCGTGTATGCACGCGTGTGCGTTGAATGGACCAATAAATCGGTGGGTAGGTGAAGCTTGGAGCTTGCTGTGTAGATCAATCCCCGCAACGTACGCGCATGCGCACACATGCTCGCACACACAGAAGCAATAAATGACCGCTTTCATCTCAGTAAACAAGACAGTAATTCCGCAGTGTCCAGCAACTGACCGAGAGCGCATGAGGCAGCGTCACTGCGACAGTCATCGGCGTAGCTGCTGCTGTCAACCTCGGCTGCTGTTGGGTTGAACAGCCGCCAGTCACCGCGGCGGCACGCCTCCAGCGCGCCCGCATCACCAACGCCACTGCCGTCGCCACCGCCTTCCACAACATACAGTCGCACATGCGCCGTGTCTACCGGCATGTGTGCAGATGTGTTGGCAAGCGCAAGGGTGACCGTCACAGTTGTCTGCAGCACGCTCGGGTCCTGCTCAAAGAGCACAATGCCTGTGACGGTTGAGTTTTCAGCAAAGGACGCCGCTGCGGTGATCACGTCGCTGCTGGCGTATGTGATGCGACCACACGCGCCGTGGCCACCAGCCGCCAGCCCGAGGGCCTGACCGAGGAGCGATGTGCGTCCATACAGCGTGGCATTCACTGACGTGTCTGTGTGCGCAATGGTGGGGTCGCCCTGGGAAGACAATGACACTGGAAACGGCCCAAGATCAAGCAGCGCCTGCGTGGATGCGTGCGCATGCAAGAGCGTGTGCACCATGGTGTGGTGGTTGTGTGTGCGTGAGAGGTGGGGAAAGAGAGAGTGTGTGTGTGTGTGTGTCAGTGAGAGAGAGTGAGAGAGAGAGTGTGTGTGTGTGAGTGAGTGAGAGAGAGAAGCGGGAAAACCACCAACAGTTGCATTGTGATAAGGAGGCGAGGATTCCCCCGCCAACGCACACAAGCATACAGAAGCACACAGAAGCACAAAGAAGCAGCACAAACAATCATATACAAGCGTGTACAGAAGCACGCGCACCTGGAGGACTGGAGCCGTGGCATCGACAGCACAAGGGGCGCGTTCCGAGAGGAAGTAAGGTGACTGCTGGTCGTAAGCTGACACCGTGTACTGCGTCTGGGCAATGTCGGCGCCAGAGACGCTGGATTGGATGACGACAGGGGAGAAGGGGGACAGCTGGGAGAGGCGAATTTCGCCGTGCAGGTAGCCAGCGGAGATGCGAGCGATGGCCTCAATGGCATCACACGTGCACACGAGCCCGTGCTGTCCTGTGAACTGTCCTGTGAGCTGCCCAGGGTCAAGACGTGGTCCTCGATGCTGTTGGCGCCAGACAGTGGAAGCTGCACGTCAGTCACCATGTACCGTCTCCCAACAGCAGCTGCACCATGCTTGCTGCTCAGGTCCCCAACACGGCACCCAAGCTGCGCCTGCTCATCGGCTCCACCACACAGCTCACCGCAGTCACCACTGCCATCGCACACAACCCCAAACGGGTTGAACACGCTCCCGCTCAACGCCCCCTCACAGTTCACCCCGTCCTCAGGTGCTTCCCCGCTGATCATCCACACAACCCCAGCATCGCTCCCAGCACCACTCCCGTCAGCGTCAACAAGATCAACAAGCACACTCGTCTCCGTCTCAGCACGCCCAACAAGCTGCCGAAACGTCACGCTCCCAAACACGCGCGGCCCAACAAACCGCGACACAAGCGTCTTCACACCCCCACTAAACCCAATGTTCCCACACCCAACAACGCGCCCGTCAGCCCTGCTCAGCACAACAGACCGCCCAGCAATGCTTCGAGGCCCAAACAGCGTCACCCCGCCATCAACAAGCACTCCGCCATCATTGCTGCTGCTGCTGCTGCTGCTGGTGCCTGTCGCTGTCACGTTCACCACACCCCACCGGCCGCCAATGTCGCCAGGGGCACACCCGTCCGCACTGGCTGTGGCAGCCGTGCATGCAGGCAAGCTGTCGGGGTTGTACACGCGTCCCGTCGTGTTGCACACGCCCTCATCGCTGCTGCTCACGCCCTGTAACAGTGGCAGCTCGTGCACGCGCACAAACAGATGCGTGTCGTTGGTGGCGGTGTGCAGGCTGACGGTGATGGTGGCGTGCATGTCTGTGCTGGCCTGGGAAAATGCGATCGAGCCAGCAACGTCGCCGTAGAAGTGTGCCGTGACGGTGCGCACTTCTGGCGCCACCAGCGTCGCACATGCGAGGCGGCCAACGTCAGCGAGCTCGTTGATGACGAGAGAGCGCTGCTGCACGCTGGCTGCGCCTGTGAGCGGCAGGGCGGCGTCCACGACAAACACGCTTGACCAGTTGCTGGCAATGTTGAGGGGGGCGTGGCGCGCAGACAGCGCACCGACGGGGCACTGCGCGGTGGTGGACTCTGCCGTGCACACTGCTGTGTTGATGATGTTGAAAGGGTCGAAGAGGGAGCCCGCAGAGCGACAGCGGCGCGTTTCGCTTGCGGCGTCTGCGCCTGTTGGGTTGGCGTGGATGGTGAACGAGTGGCCCTCGCTTCTGCCTTGCAGCGAGTTGAGGTACCTGTATTCCAGAAACACGGCGGTGGCCTGGTTGGAGTGGTTGGATGGCTGCCACATGCGCATGTATCCGAGGATGAACGGCGAGTCGCGGAAACGAGCCTCCAGCACGTCGTGCGTGGCGAGCCTTGGGGGCTGGCCGGCGACAGCCTGCACATGGGCGCATGCGATGGTGCTGGGCGTGATGCCGTCTGCCTGGAGAGATGTGGAGCGCACCGTTAGGGCGAGGTGCACGATGGCTGCGGGTCCTTGGAGGGGCAGGTCAGCCTGGTCCACCAAGGTTGAGAAGCACGAACCGGACGTGCACTGCGACGCATCAAATGCGCCGCCCGCGCTGCCAGTCAGGTCTCCCACCGCACAGAGGTTCTCGTCACGGGCACAGGCTGCTTCATACTGCATCCAGTCGTGGACGGATGTCTGCTGCTTGTTTGGGGCAGCGCCATACGGGAGCCCGAGGCGGATGATGTCGCACGTGTGAATGGCAGGGCGCGCGTGGAGCATCAGAGTGTACGAGTCGTTGGCGGGGAGGCCGGACAGACGCGCATCCACGAGAAACTTGTTGCCACAACATGGTTGGAACTCGACGGTGCCTGTAACGCCGACGGAGTCGAACACAGCCACGGCTGTGCATTCAGTGCATGGTGCCGGTGGTCCTGCTGCCAGTGACGCTGCGAGCAAGTGGATGTCGCGCAGAACCACGTGCAAGAAGAATGAACAGGGGAAGCAGGAGGGTGGAGTGAGTGTGTTTATGAGTGAGGTTGTGCGTGGAAATGAGACAGAGGCAGAGAGAGTGTGTGTGTGGATGTGTGTGTGTGTGTTTGCGTGTGTATGTGTGTGCGTTTGTGTGGATGTGTGCTGTTGTCCATGATCCGAAAACCGTCGTTTCGCTTGCGGCGTCTGCGCCTGTTGGGTTGGCGTGGATGTGAACGAGTGGCCCTCGCTTCTGCCTTGCAGCGAGTTGAGGTACCTGTATTCCAGAAACACGGCGGTGGCCTGGTTGGAGTGGTTGGATGGCTGCCACATGCGCATGTATCCGAGGATGAACGGCGAGTCGCGGAAACGAGCCTCCAGCACGTCGTGCGTGGCGAGCCTTGGGGGCTGGCCGGCGACAGCCTGCACATGGGCGCATGCGATGGTGCTGGGCGTGATGCCGTCTGCCTGGAGAGATGTGGAGCGCACCGTTAGGGCGAGGTGCACGATGGCTGCGGGTCCTTGGAGGGGCAGGTCAGCCTGGTCCACCAAGGTTGAGAAGCACGAACCGGACGTGCACTGCGACGCATCAAATGCGCCGCCCGCGCTGCCAGTCAGGTCTCCCACCGCACAGAGGTTCTCGTCACGGGCACAGGCTGCTTCATACTGCATCCAGTCGTGGACGGATGTCTGCTGCTTGTTTGGGGCAGCGCCATACGGGAGCCCGAGGCGGATGATGTCGCACGTGTGAATGGCAGGGCGCGCGTGGAGCATCAGAGTGTACGAGTCGTTGGCGGGGAGGCCGGACAGACGCGCATCCACGAGAAACTTGTTGCCACAACATGGTTGGAACTCGACGGTGCCTGTAACGCCGGCGGAGTCGAACACAGCCACGGCTGTGCATTCAGTACATGGTGCCAGTGGTCCTGCTGCCAGTGACGCTGCGAGCAAGTGAATGTCGCGCAGAACCACGTGCAAGAAGAATGAAGAGGGGAAGCAGGAGGGTAGAGTGAGTGTGTTTATGAGTGAGGTTGTGCGTGGAAATGAGACAGAGGCAGAGAGAGAGAGTGTGTGTGTGTGGATGTGTGTGTGTGTGTGGATGTGTGTGTGTGTGTGTGGATGTGTGTGTGTTTGCGTGTGTATGTGTGTGCGTTTGTGTGTGTGTGTGTGGTTGTGTGTGTGTTTGCGTGTGGATGTGTGTGCGTTTGTGTGGATGTGTGTGTATGTGTGTGTGTGTGTGTGGTTGTGTGTGTGTTTGCGTGTGTATGTGTGTGCGTTTGTGTGGATGTGTGTGTGTGTGTGTGTGTGTGTGGATGTGCGTGTGCGCGAAGGTAGGTGTGCACGAAGCCCCCACCCCAACACACGTGCAGGAATCAAAGGCAAGCAGGTATGCTGAGTAGGGTGTGTCACCTGGAGCGCAGGCAGCGAGGACGAGGGCAGCAGCGAGCAGCAAGCACCACAGGCCGTCAGTAGCGGCCAACGGCCGCCACTGTGCTTTGTGTGTGCGCTGTATTGTGGGTCGGGACTGAACAACACGCAGCCCGTGCCCTGAATCAGTTGCTACAGGGAGAGGTGATGGTGTCGATGATGGTGGCGTCGTCGTCGTTGTTTTGTGCTGAGCGTTCTTTCTCAAAGGTGCTGCACTGATATTGGTTTGCAAAGTCAAGCCAAGTCAGTGTCTGTGAGCCAGCCCTGCTCACACGCGGTGATGTGAGATGTGATGTTCACCCCAACAAAAGTGTTTGTAGTTGTTGCCTCCAGCCACGCAAAGAAGAAGAACGAGCAGCAAGAAGGGGTGCTTCGTCTTCCTGGCTGTTGTTGGATTGCTTTGTAGAATGTTTAGTGATGATATTGCTTAATTATCTACAACAGCTGGCGCGGGTGTGTGTGATTGTGCGTGTGTGTGTGTGTGTGTGTGTGTGTGTGTGTGTGTGTGTGTGTGTGTGATTGTGTGTGTGTGTGTCTTGCTTAGGGGTGTTGTGCTGTGCAGGGACCCTTGCTGCGTCATCTTCGTGCGAGCTGTCGACCAAGGAGGCCAAAGGACATGGTGGCTAGGAACAAGATGGGGATCAGGGTGGCTTGCACGTAGAAGAAGTCCGGCTGTGCCCACCTGGTTTGTGTTGGTGAGTGATTGAGTATTTGTATGTGTGTGTGTGTGTGTGTGTGAGTGAGTGTATGTGTGTGAGTGAGTGTGTGTGAGTGTGAGTGTGTGTGTGTGTGAGTGAGAGAGAGTGTGTGTGTGTTTCCATGGGTGAGGGACACGAAAGACATGAAGCAACACGGTCAGAAATCACAGAAAGATCAGATACAGGGAGAGGGATGTAGAGAGACAGAGACGATGCCCTTTGAGGTGCACAGCACACCGTACAACAACAGCAGCAACAGCAGCAGCGCAACACATACACGCGCTCGTACACCACACACACACATGAATACAAGCATACACGTGCTCAACACATGCACAACATGTGCACAACACGACTCACTCCAGTACGCCTAGGTAGCTGAGGTACTGGGACGCAGTGATGCCGAAGCTGGTGACAGCCACGGCAGTGCCCAGGCCAACGGCCGTGCCGTCGACAAGCCACCACATGGATGACTGGAAACCGTTGTGAGAGGGAGAAGCAAGGAGTAAAAGGGGAAACAAAGGGGGTAGGTGGACATGGGGGAGGGGAGAGTGAAGAGAAGAATATGACAAACACAAGGTGATGAGTGGAGGAAAGGCGACAGGCAGAACACGCACAGATGCAGTCGGCGGCTGAAACGAAAGGAGAAACTTCAACACTCTGCAACATCACAATAAAGTCGCACGTGTACGGCGTCCCATCCCTCGTTCACATGCACGTACCGCCATGATGAGGAGAGAGATGTTGAGCTCGTGGCTGCGCTGCGATGGGAACCGCTGAACGGGTGGTACGAGAACGTGTT